TATACCTGACAGTGAAGGGTCTGGTATAGGAGTATACCTGACAGTGAAGGGTCTAGTATAGGAGTATACCTGACAGTGAAGGGTCTGGTATAGGAGTATATACCTGACAGTGAAGGGTCTGGTATAGGAGTATAAACCTGACAGTGAAGGGTCTGGTATAGGAGTATAAACCTGACAGTGAAAGGTCTAGTATAGAAATATACCTGACAGTGAAGGGTCTAGTATAAGAGTATACCTGACAGTGAAGGGTCTAGTATAGGAGTGTATATCTGACAGTGAAGGGTCTAGTATAGAAGTATATTCCTGACAGTGAAGGGTCTGGTATGGGAGTTTACCTGACAGTGAAGGGTCTAGTATAGGAGTATATTCCTGACAGTGAAAGGTCTAGTATAGGAGTATACCTGACAGTGAATGGTCTAGTATAGGAGTATAAACCTGACAGTGAAGGGTCTGGTATAGGAGTATACCTGACAGTGAAGGGTCTAGTATAGGAGTATATACCTGACAGTGAAGGGTCTTATAGGAGTATACCTGACAGTGAAGGGTCTAGTATAGGAGTATATACCTGACAGTGAAGGGTCTAGTATAGGAGTATACCTGACAGTGAAGGGTCTAGTATAGGAGTATACAGAGCAAGGAGAGGATTTTTTCGGATGATCTGTGACAGAACAGAATACTTCTCCGCAAAGACGATCCACACAGGATTCTAACAACAAACACCGTAATACATTTTTTAATTAGTTAAACTTTAAAAAAATGAAAACCGACTCCATATTAGATATTATGTCATATTAGATAGATATATGTATATATCTTCTTAAATATATATTTATATATTAGGCACTGCTTACTGTTTAAATATTTGAGAATTGGCTAGATATTAGAATTTCTTTTGCCTGGAATTCATTACATATATTGAAATTGTATTGTATCTGTATTTTATATCATTCCTCGCCTTTTCAAATTGGTATTTTGGTTTTCGGAAATAAAAATAGTTCCGAAAATATTTTAATATGTTACTACAAAAGCTTTTACAGTTGCACTTGCACAGATCAATTTGGAAAGATTTTCAATTCATTTTACAAAACAGCCAAAAACTTAGTGATAAAATTTTATAGTAAGGACAACATAAAAATATTAAGCAAAGTATTGAAAAGTAAGTCCCATCACTAGATTTACCTTGGAAAGGTTTTGTTACGAGTCTGGGTTTTGGTTCCAGATGTTAGTAATCTATCTTTGTACACCTAGAGATACTAGTGTATCCAATAAAACCTAAAGATACTGATCCTTGTACACCTTGATATACAGTGTATCCTTGTACACCTAGATATACAGTGTATCCTTGTACACCTAAAGATACTGGTGTATCCCTGTACACCCAGAGATACTAGTGTTTCCTTGTAAATCTAGAGATACTAGTGTACTCTTGTTCAACTATAGATACTAATGTTTGTACAACTAGAGATACTAGTGCCTCATTGTACAACTAGAGATACTAGTGTATCATTGTAAACCTACAGATACAAGTGTATCCTTGTACACCTAGAGATACTAGTGTATCTCCTTGTAGACCTAGAGATACTAGTGTATCCTAACACAACTAGAGATACTATTGTATCCTAGTGCACCTAGAGGTACTAGTGTACCCTTGTGCACCTAGAGATAATAGTGTATCCTTGTACATCTAAAGATACTAGTTTTCACAGTACACCTAAAGATACTAGTGTATCCTAGTATACCTAAAGATACTAGTGTACCCTTGTACACCTAGAGATACTAGCGTATCCATGTACACAGATACTATTGTATCCTAGTACACCTAAAGATACTAGTGTACCCTTGTACACCTAAAGATACTAGTGTACCCTTGTACACCTAGAGATACTAGCGTATCCATGTACACTTATAGATACTAGTGTACCCTTGTACACCCAGAGATACTAGTTTATCCATGTACACCGAGAGATACTAGTATATCCTAGTACACCTAGAGATACTAGTGTACCCTTGTACACCTAGAGATACTATTGCATCCTTGTACACCTAGAGATACTAGTATACCCTTGTACATCTAGAGATACTAGTGTACCCTGGTACATCTAGAGATACTGGTGTATCCATGTACACCTAGAGACACTAGTGTATCCTAGTACACCTAGAGATACTAGTGTACCCTTGTACACCTAAAGATACTGGTGTATCCTTTTACATCTAGAGATACTGGTGTATCCTTGTACATCTAGAGATACTGGTGTATCCTTGTACACCTAGAGATACTAGTGTATCCTAGTACACCTAGAGATACTGGTGTATTTCTGTACACCTAGAGATACTAGTGTATCCTAGTACATCTAGAGATACTGGTGTATCCTTGTACATCTAGAGATACTAGTGTATCCTAGTACACCTAGAGATACTAGTATATCCTAGTACACCTAGAGATGCTAGTGTACCCTTTTTCACCTATAGATACTAGTGTATCCTTGTACACCTAGAGATACTGGTGTATCCTTGTACATCTAGAGATACTGGTGTACCCTTGTACACCTAGAGATACTAGTGTATCCTAGTACACCTAGAGATCCTAGTGTACCCTTGTACACGTAGAGATACTTGTGTATGCTTGTACACCTAGAGATACTAGTGTATCCTAGTACACCTAGAGATACTAGTGTATCCTAGTACACCTAGAGATACTAGTGTAGTAGTAGAAGTATCTAGTGATTTACTGCTTTGACGTTTATTGGATATAAACAAACAAACTCCAGGACATGCCAAATATATGTAATATTTATAGTTATTTCACATGTCTATTGTATATTGTATTGTATCGACAAAACGGATTAAAAAGAGCGTCCATATTTTTTTGAGACCTCAAATGACCCTAGGGATGGTTTGTGGCCGGACGAAATGTTTAAAAATTGCCACAACACAATTTAAATTAAAAAATGTTGGAAATCTGAAAAAGAAGAAAATTTTCTGGACTTTTTTAAGTTTAAAGTTTACGAAAAAAAATATTGGCATGAAAAATCGAAAGCTATATAATTATTACTTGAAAAATTGGACGAAGCTGAAAAGCCTAGTTATATTTGAGAAGAATATAACCTAACAATATCATAAATATTATTCTGTTTTAACAAAATATTTATTTAAATTATTCTTTTCCATTTTATTACTGTGGTATATATGTATCTATTTAGTTTAATATACTTTATGCAAGCTATCTGCGCTACCTGCAATAAAATTGAAAATATTGTAAATCTTGAAGATAAATATATCTGTATCTAAAATACAGGGATGTATGTATCTACTGCATGGCAGGAATTTAGTTTTAACATTTCCATCTCCAAAGTACAGAGTATACCAAAAAAAACATGGTAATTCAGAAACGTCATGGAAATTCCACAAATGTGTCGCAAATGTTGATTGAGGAATTCGGGAGAACCACGGATATGTTCTTAGCTTGGTGTTCAAATACAAAATTTGAAATTGGGTTGGTTGATTTTTACAGAGAAAGTTTTGTTTCCAGGTAAAGCTAGTTTTTTATAAATTGAAATTTGGACAAATGAATTGAGTTTTTGGCACAAACTCTGATTTTCTTATTCCATATATCTTTGCTGCCCAATATCGTAGATCTAAAATATTTTAAACGGAAAATTCTGTTAGATCAAATAATCTAAGTTTGAAATATCAATGCAATGATATAGGGATTAGAAAATTTGAGTTTGTGGCAGAAGACTCAATTCCTTTCTCGATAGATGAGTTTTCAATATAAATGGTTTTGACTGGATTCGTACTTAAAATGGATTTACATTGTACATACTTGGGCTAGATCCTGGGAATTGTACTGCACTGCCATCTGTACTGGTAGTAGCACAAGGTATAGCAACCCAATCTGTTGTACAGTTATCTCCAACACGAACCTGAATATAACAAAATATAAAATCTTTACAAATACTTAGCTTGTATTGACTCTTGGTGTTTGTTTGCAACCAATAAACGTAAAAAGGGCTGAACCGATCGGGCCTAAATTTTTAGTGGGGTCTCACATGACCCCAACGAAGGTTTATGGATATGGTTTAGTTAGTCGTTTGCTAATTTAAGAAGTGAGAATGCCGGATAGAGCAACAATTAAAAGTTAAAATCAAAGATGTGCGCGAAGCAAACTGTAAGCCTAGCTTTTCTAAACAACAACATTAGATCCGCAGTTTTTAAAAGGAATTGAGAATTTGCCACAAACTCAAATTTTATAATTCCTATATCTTTTTAACCATAATAATGTAAACCTTTGACGTTTTAAACTTAAATTGTTTAATCTCACAGAATTCATAGTTTGAAATATCTAAACTCTTTGGCATTGGGTTACAAAGATATAGGGATTATACACAAGAGCTTGTGACAAAGACTCAATTTCTTTATTGAATTGAAAAGGATTGCATTTTGATTTACATTAATCACCCTTTAGATCTAGATAGAGTATTTTGTATAGTTTTATTTTTGCAGTTTGCTTGTATTTGTTCCAAAACAAGAATGTGCGTGATCTATGTCATTAAATTTGCATATTCGAAGATAAACTATTATTTTCTTCTTACATGGAAACAAGATAACCTTAATTTATTATTCTTTGATTCTGTTTCCCTACTGTTGCGTGCATATGAGTAACCATCTGAAATTTACTGCCGACTTTTTTTTCATATCTTTTATCATGTTGAAAAGATACAGAAACTCTCCCTCTGAAGTAAGTTCCTGGAATTAACTTGAACTTACCTCTCCCTGTGTAGTAGTATACTGGAGAGAACCTGAACCTACCTCTCCTTGTGCAGTAGGTTGCTGCATGGAGAGAACTTTAACCTAACTCTCCCTATGTAGTAGGTTGCTGGAGAGAACCTGAACTTACCTTTCCCTGTGTAGTGGTATGCTGGAGAGAATCTGAACCTACCTCTCCCTGTGTAGTACGTTACTGGACAGAACTTGAACCTACCTCTCCCTGTGTAGTAGGTTACTGGAGAGAACCTGAACCTACCTTTCCCTGTGTCGTAGTATGCTGGAGAAAACCTAAACCTACCTTTCCCTATGTAGTAGTATGCTGGAGAGAACTGTAACCTACCTCTCCCTGTGTAGAAGGTTGCTGGAGAAAACCTAAACCTACCTTTCCCTATGTAGAAGGTTGCTGGAGAGAACCTGAACCTACCTCTCCCTGTGTAGTAGGTTACTGACAGAACATGAACCTACCTCTCCCTATGTAGTAGGTTACTGGACAGAACCTGAACCTACCTCTCCCTGTGTAGTAGGTTACTGGACAGAACCTGAACCTACCTTTCACTGTGAAGTAGGTTGCTGGAGAGAACTTTAACCTACCTCTCCCTGTGTAGTAGTATGCTGGAGAAAACCTAAACCTACCTTTCCCTATGTAGAAGGTTGCTCTGAACCTACCTCTCCCTGTGTAGTAGGTTGCTGGAGAGAACCTGAACCTACCTTTCCCTGTGTAGTGGTATGCTGGAGAGAATCTGAACCTACCTCTCCCTGTGTAGTAGGTTACTGGACAGAATTTGAACCTACCTCTCCCTGTGTAGTAGGTTACTGGACAGAACCTGAACCTACCTCTCCCTGTGTAGTAGGTTACTGGACAGAACCTGAACCTACCTTTCACTGTGAAGTAGGTTGCTGGAGAGAACTTTAACCTACCTCTCCCTGTGTAGTAGTATGCTGGAGAAAACCTAAACCTACCTTTCCCTATGTAGAAGGTTGCTGGAGAAAATCTTAACTTACCTCTCCCTGTGTAGTAGGTTACTGGACAGAACCTGAACCTACCTCTCCCTGTGTAGTAGGTTGCTGGAGAGAACTTTAACCTACCTCTCCCTGTGTAGTAGAATGCTGGAGAAAACCTAAACCTACCTTTCCCTATGTAGAAGGTTGCTGGAGAGAACCTGAACCTACCTCTCCCTGTGTAGTAGGTTGCTGGAGAGAACCTGAACCTACCTCTCCCTGTGTAGTGGTATGCTGGAGAGAATCTGAACCTACCTCTCCCTGTGTAGTACGTTACTGGACAGAATTTGAACCTACCTCTCCCTGTGTAGTAGGTTGCTTAAGAGAATTCCCAGTAATGGTAAAGCTCTCCTGTAAAGCATGCGAACCTAATTTATCCTCACAAGCCCGGTAACTAATTCCACAAAACCCTCTTTCATTCCTATAATTAGCAAAATGAATAATGTATTTTATGAACTGGACTTATGAAATACCGTTGAACCTTTTCATAAAGTTAAAAGGTTTCTAAAATTTAAATGATTTTTGTTTCACTCAAGATTTTTTCTGGTTTTAAATATTTGTTAATTTTTGTTAAAGTGAAACCCATAAAACTTTCGAATAGAGGCAGACGACTGTAAGAATTAAGATATGGTCTGAAATATTTCAAATCAAATGAATAAAATTTATCTTGTAGTGTTCACAGACCCATTTTACTCGATAATTTTATTTTCAATGTTAATGGTAAAACTACTTGCTTCAATTCATAGCAACGTCAAATACACATAATATTACTTAAAGGGACAGACCGGCTATGTAAGGTAGTTAAACTGAGTATGCAGATCTGTAAATCCTGAGTTTGAGCGCAAAGTCGATGTACAAAATCTTACTTTTGGGTGGATACGTTTTCAGAATTGTTTTTCTTTAATTATTATAGACGACACATAAACTGTAAACAAAATTCTACAGTAAACTTATTAGTTGTTTAGGAACAGGTTGAGAAAATAAAAATTAATCTTATCATCGAAAATAAGTAATCTTATTAAATTATTAGTTTCTTTAATCTCTCTTTAGTCACAAAAATTCTCTGCAGATTTTCTGGAATTTTTATTAAAAAGACGACATTTGAAGAATTTGAAGAAATCTGCGAACAAATTCATAGAAAATAAGAATTTCAATATAATTATGAAAAAGGAAATAATTCATTCTAACTTCGATTTATTGACAAATTTCTTTTGAGAAACATGTTCCTAAACATCTAATTAGTTTACTATGGGATTTTTACCAAATTTTTCGTCGTCGTTATTTGATAATTTAAAACAACGATTCTGAAAACGTACCCACCCAAATTCATGATTTTTAACGTTGACTTTGCGCTCAAACTTAGTAATTATACATCGTGGAAACTTTTTATAAGTCTCAAATGAATCCTAAAGAATTTGTCCGCAACACTGCATACTCAGTTTAACTACCTTACATCGCCGGTCTGTCCCTTTAAATATCGTCTTCTCATTCAATAATTGTATGAGCCCTACTGCATTAAGTAAATAAGACTATAACGTTTTTATTGCCCTAGCATTGGCCACAAATGGACTAAGCACTATACAGAAACCACTGTAATTACGCTTTAAAACCACAGCGCTCTAACCCAAAGAGCAAATTATAAGGTTTATTCGCTGAGAGTACACTAAAGGTAAGGGGGACAGGGTTTGTATACACATTTTAGGGTTGCTGGGAAATAGTTTTATCCGAACAATAAAATTGTTATAACAAAGGTCAGAATTGTTAATGTCTTGTTTGCAAAGTGTTGTTTATTTAACTTAAACCAGTTCCTGAGCAGTCCTAATATAATACAATACAGTAAAATGCACGTAACCCCTATCCCCTCCACCTTACATCTAATCACTTTGATATCATCTAGACTGTTACCAAAGAATAAAATCCAGTATTGATTTGTTTATAACCTTGCATTTTTAAAAGCATCAGAATGACGTATGAGCTTAGCTCCGTGGATTTCAAATCCATTTAATTTCCCTTCTATAGTCTGTATAGTCGAGATAAATAAGGGTAATATATCTAGGTTTCTCAGGGTAGCTCAGCTAACACTAGCAAGTATATTTCTCACTAGTATATATTATATTTATGCAGATAATTGTCTGAATATAGATTCTGCTCAGATCCTTACACAATACCCAACCCAGGGATTATATAGACAAGACTAGGCATTACTTTTAGAATCTTTGTAGATACGAAAAGTCTTCATAACATGTATGTATATATATAGGGTTGTTAATCTTTTTTGAAAACGATCGTTAAAAGACCGTTTTTTTGTTTCGTTTTCCGATCGTTTTCAAAAACGATCGGAAAAAACGATCGTTTTTAACCCACTCGTTTCGAATTTTAAAAAAACGAATAACGATCGTTTTTGAAAACTATCTATTTTATAAAAAACTATCAGCCATCGTTAACGAAACGACGAACTTTATTTGAAATTACATGCAACTTTATCGAATTTCGTCTTAAATGAAGGTAAAAGTTGTGGGGGAGCTATAACTTCTTGATATTTTCTTTAAAACTGCTCAATGATAAGTACCGGCGCCCTACAGGGCGGTTTCCTCTCTCCTACTCTCTTCGTTAACGAAGGGTCGTCGTTAATGATCGTTAACGAAGGGAGGTCTTTAACGAACGTTAACAAAACAGCTAGCTTTTTAAAAGCGATCATTTTGAAAACGAGCGTTTTTAAAATACGATCGTTTCGTTTTCGTTTTTTTTGTCGTCGTTTTCATAACGAAACGATCGTTTTTTAAATAAATTAAAACGTTAACATCCCTATATGTAGATATTTTTTTAATTTTAGTGCGTCTACTAGGCCAATTTCTCAAGTTGTGTTCCCCACATCACGTTATATATATTGAATCCTTTATTCCTCTTTGAAAATCCTTTCCCCCCAATATTAGTTATGTTTGCGCGGAGGGGGAAATAAATGATTTTCTGAGTAATAAGTATTCAAGGTAATAAGTATCAAAAAGAATGAAAAAACATGCCTTCGGATGTCCAATTTTTTTTTCAAAATTTCCCCCCTCCCCCAGCGCGCAGAGGGGTAAATCTTGAAAATGTATACCCAGGGAAAAGGGTTAAATAATCTTATTTTTATCACTATTATTTGTAAAAATACCCGAGTTTAATTCTAGTTAACACAAAAACAAAAATAGTGTCGGATATAAGGGACACGTATAATTGTACTTAATAACCATTTACAATTTGGCATGGTTTCACGTTGCTCTGTTGTAGGTGGATAACAGGTGAAATTATATCTGAGAAATTTGCATTTAATAATTCTATAAGAGAAAATAAAAAACAAATATATGTAAACCGAGACCATAGGGCAGGGCAGGGATAGGAAGGCCCGGCTCGTGAAATCATTGTTTACTCACAATAAACCAGTTTTTGAGTAATTCTAGTTAAAAATAAAAAAAAACCTTATCACCATCACACTCTAGTTATATTGTAGTATCTGTGTAATCTGTAAATAAAGTTTAGAGCTGTTTCTTTATATTGCAAGGCGGGGTTAGAACAAGATCTCTAATAAGTCTTTATAGGCATATTTACACTAAAGAGGTTTATAACTTACACTATCATAGCTCGAGAGTTATCTTGTACTAGAATGTTGTAATTTTTTTCATTACAAAATATGTATAATGTAGGGGTATGATCATAGATAAATAAATAAACATAGATAGCTTATGTACGCAAAATCACCAAGAGTTGTACAGTCCGCGAACTCATACTTCTAGGGGTCAAAGTGTACTTCAATTATAAGCGGGGTGGTTTGGTGTTTTAATGGATTTCATATAATAGAGTGTAAAACAACAATATTTCACTGAGCAATATATCATATTGACGAGAACTGAAGAAGGACATGAGAAGGACTAAACTAACTTAAATTTCTCTCAACGGAACTCATGTACACCACAAGTACTCAATGACATAAGAACAGCCAATGTTCACAACCGACCTAGTTAATCTATATAATAGGAATATCTTTAAAACATCTCTTTACATTTATATCTTTCAAGATGAAAAATGTCGTCTTATGCGCAATCTATCTTTATCTATGGGTATGATACAGAACCCTTTTATTCCGTGATGTCTGGCGTGTACATTTTATTTCTTGTAGCTATATAGCAGAATCAAGAAAAAAGAGTAGGTTTACATAGGGGTTGCTATAGTGGTTTATGGGAACAGCTCTAGAGACATTTTATTGTAAACTAGTTTGGGAACCCAGCTTTACCTGGAAACTAAGTTTTTACAGTAAAAGCTTAGAGCATTTCTGTAGTTCTGCCCGGTTTCCCATCAAAGTTTGAGGCAAATCAATCAAGGGTTTCATGATTTATGATCGGACATACAAAAGAAATAAAACAAACAAAGATTACTACTTTATATATAGAAAATAACAAATATTTCAAACAATGCTAATGCTCGGTATATTCCTGAGCAGGACAGGGGCTTTCATGCATTCAGTGTTTACTATATTGTGTTTACAATAAAACTAGTCCTAATACGGCACAGAGGAACGTAAACAACTCGTATATCCTCCTCCTCGTACTATAAGGGTGGTGTATTTTTCGACCTACGCAAATCCGCTGTAGTCCACTTCTGACCTACGCCAATTCCGCTATACTAGACATCCGACCTACTAGCACGTGGTTTTACAGCTGCTGTATGGACTTGTGGCAGTAGCGCCCGGCCCCCTATTCTGTCCTAGCCGCGCCCCTAGCCATCGTCAGAGCCGCAGCGCTCGGCCTAGAAATTGTCTTAACCTAACCTAACCCTCAAATAATACAAAAATAAACAGCTGGCGTATGTCCAATCTTGCAGTAGGTCGGAAAATTAGTAGGTCAGAAGTTCAGTAGGGGGGATGTTGCGTATAGACATTGTATCATTACCAAGTAAGATTATACCTGATACAAATAGTGTAATCCTGGTTTGAAAGCTGCAGACCCTCCGCCTGGATATAGTTAAAGCTACTAATCACTCCACTAACCTAAACCAATTAGAATATTTTCTTAGTTTTCTAAAGAATTAAACATTTTTTTTCTAAAACTAACGTCACTCTTTTATTTTTAAATTTTCGCAACATTATTTTCCCGAGAAAATATGCACGAATGCACCGTTGGATTCTCAATGAGAATTACCATGTGCATGCAACAATAAAAAACTGTTGCCTCTTTTAAAAGTTGAATTTATTTTAATTAATGTTTAATATCTACACGGAGGAAAGCATTTAGGATTAAACTACAGAAAAAAGGAGCATTTATTAAAATGAAACTATTGAAATATTCAATAAAAATTCTTTATGATTTAATCATAGAGATGCATCAACCTAGAGTAAATATCTAAGATTAACGTTAAACCATGCATATAAACAAAGGCCTACCACCTAAACAGGGGGCTATGGGCGTTCAGCCCCCCTGGACCATAACCCCCCCCTCATTGGAAAATGTCTGCATGTGTACGCCCCTGGATAAAAAATACGTAGAGGAAGCATCTTAGATATAAAAACCATTTAAACTATTTTCCTTAAATTTTCTTAAATTTTCAATTAACTGGATTTTAAATGTTCCAGGGTTATTCATGGATAAAGATAGATTGCGCAAAGACGACATTTATCCTCAACTTAATAGATATAAATGTACAGAGATGTTTGAAATCTATAGACTGAGTTTGAAACTTTAGAATTGGATACCATAAATACTAGAGATGTCAACGATAGTGTAACGTAACGTAAAATGTACGTTTTTGTACGTTACGTTACAATAATGTGTAATGTTTGGATATATTTTATATAACGTGTACGTTAAACGTTCACGTTATAGGAGCTCATACCTAACGTTAACGTTAAATGTTAACGTTAGAGGAACATACCCCCAACATTAGCGTTTTGTGGAAATGTAACGTTATTTTTCTAATATCTACAAATTTTTTGACCATAACGTAAAGAAATGTTTTGTTTTCAAGGGGAGCTTAAAGTCTAACGTTTGAAAAACTAATTGTGATTTGATTGAATATCGTAACGAAAGGATTTCTATTTCGAAGTTCAACTTATAAAAAAGTGTAACGTTGTATAACTGAAAATGCATTACTGTTTATGAAAACGTTTTGAAACGTTTTCCCTTATAGTATAATGAAAAATTCAACGTTGCAGAAATGGGTTATTATTTTAATAATCAGGAAGCGAAAGTTTTTTTTAAAAGAGTAAAATTTCAATAATGTAACGTTTAACATTTAATAAAATGTTATTCTGTAATTCAAACCGTTTCATAACTTTTCTCTGAGTACTAAATTGATTAGTCTAACGTTAGATATATGTCTAATGAAAATGTTGTTCATAAACGTTAGACTATGAGGGCTGAGTTTTAATTTCAAAAGTGTAACAATGATTCTGTCAATCAAAACATTTCAAAACGTCTCTAATATATCAATGTAAGAGATTCGACTGATGATTATAAGAGGAAAGACTCATGGTTTTTCATTTCAAGTTTAAAGAAAATGAGTTTATGTCAAAAACTCTAATTTTCATTTAATATATCTTTGCAACCCGATGTCGTAGACCATTAATATTGAAATATACAAGGTTTAAACCATCGGGTTGGAAATTTATAGGGATTAGTAAATTTGAAAAAAAACTTAGTTCCTTTCTAAAGTGTAAACGAGTTTTTTTGTAACATGCTATTAGTGAAAATTCAAATCTTATTAATGCTTCTTGGACATTAAAGGTTTTTGATTTGCCATTGTTTGATGAAACCCACTAAAACTCTGGAAAAGGAAGACGACATTAAGAAATTTTACATATGTATTTTCTGTTATAAAGCAAATGATTTACTAATTGCAAAAAAATCAACATATTAAGTGGAACGGGTCTGTAAACAAACACAATTGCTGGGTTTCATGCTTATTTGACTACTTGAAATCATAACTTCAGTTGGCATGGTTCATTTTTAGGTTGAAAAATTTAGAAATGTAGATACATACTAAAATGCAACAATATTTTATCAAATGGAAAATGCGTGATATGTTTTATTCATCAATAGATTTTTATGAAACTTTAGAATAGAAAAAAAACTGTTTTTTTAATCGATTTTTTTTAAAAAGAAAAATGTTAAATAATTTTATTTCGCGTTGTTTGTGTTAAAAAAAATTTAGCACTTGTCTTACTATATTTGATATGTTTTAACCCCAAACATGAACTCTGAAAACATTTTCATTGTAGTTTGTAAACTGAAGCTAATGCCGCTTTTTTACGCACTTTGTAAGTGACAAAAAAAACATAAAAAAACTAAAAATTCGCCACAAATTAAGATTTTCTAATCTCTGCATTTTTGCAAGCTGGTGTTGTAGACTTTTGATATTTCAAGCTATGACTTCTGTTAGATAAGAATGTCTAAAGGAATTGAGTTGTATTACTTATATTTCTAATCCCTATATCTTTGCTACACAATGTTGTAGACCTTAGATATTTTAAACTATAAATTCTGTTAGATAGAATAAAAGGGTCAGTCTGCATTGCGTAAAAAAAGAAAAAATTAACCCTAAACTTAGCTAAAATAATTTAGAACTACTGTTCCACATACAAAAGTGGTTTGCCTTGCCGAATTTTAACTCATTTTATGAAGTGTCCCAAAACATGTCTATTTTTTAAGATCGTCAAATACACGATGATAATTTCAAGTGATCCTCCATTTAAAGAGGGCCATGCTCGATTCCCAATGATAACGTGTATACCTTTATCTGATTGATGATTTGAAAATTAGGAGTGTTTTCCTATCTTGTAAATGTATGCTGAACATTAAGGGTGATTGATTTGTGACTTTTTTTTAGAACTTAGCCAGCCGCCCACCAGAGGTCGCTGCGTTTTAAATTAATAAAACTATTGTAATCAAAAAAAAATTCAAAATCGTCCATAGGGTTGCGAATTGACAATTTAATATTGGAAAAAATTCCGCAAGGCTTAAAAAAAAAATATTTCAACAAATAAGTATGATACATTATTTTCTTGGAAATTTTATGCTGAATTCTGATTCGAAAACCATTTTTAAATATATTAAAATCTAAAGAAGTTATGGCCAAATAACGGTACTAAATTCCGGTTTTTAAACTTTTTAATGTTTTTGATGAGTTTTTTAGCTCTGACTCACTCAATTTTCAATTTTTTTAAACGCTTTTCAGATTTGAGTTTAGCATTAAATTTCCAAGAAAATGATGTATAATATGAAAATAAAAAATAAATTTTTTTTGTGGCCTTACGGTGAAAATGCAGCGACTTCCGGTGGGCGGTTGGCTCTATTCCAATATTGATCACCCTTTCTGGACATGCCACTCCATAAATGGAAGGTCACTTGAAATTACGTCTCTAGTCCCTTAAAGACACACTTTGAATTAAAAGTCTAATGCTAAAAACTTTCATTTAAAAATTTTAAAAAGGTTAACAATGCAACAGCAACATACAGGGTGAGTAAAAAAATGTAATTATCACGGAAAAAATCTTGCAATGATTTTATTTAGAAACAATAATATTTTTATAAAGTGTAACGTTAGAAACATTAAGGCTTGAACATTTCAATACAACGCAACGTATAGAACTTTTTTTCAAATCTTTCTCAAAAACGAAACGAATAAACAGTTTTGATTGTCAGTTGTAAAAAAGTGTAACAAAAAGTTTTCACAATAACGTTTCGATAAATCGTAAAGAAAAGGTGTATTTTAGTAAAATTTCTTAACGTGATGGAAAGAGTTTATATTGGAAAAGTTAAGATAAATCGTAACGTTAACAAAAAATATTCTTTTCACTGATGCATTGTAACTTACAGAACTATGCTCCAATGACGTTTTATAAAAGCAAAACGTTTGTCGTCTTTTAAATCTTAAACAAAGTGAAAGTGTAACGTAAGGTCTCTGAAAATATTTACCTTGCATGAAAGTGGAACGTTAAAAATTGTGGTTATAATACATAAGCTTTAACGCAACGTTACGCAACGTTGGGGAAGTTTTTTAAAACGGGAAATGCAAAAGCGTAACGGACCTTTTTGTTTTTCACTAACATTTACTAAAGCTTAACCTTGTACAAGATATTCAAGTGCAGAAAATTCATTACGTAACGTTACTCTATGCCATAAAATTTCAGAATGTGCAACGTAACGTTTCAAACGTTAATACTTTTGATGAACACTATCGTAACAAAAGCTAAAATCTAGAAAAATCAAAACGTTGACATCTCTAATATATACTAATCGTTTAATCAGAATATCCACTGTAAACACTTTTGATTTATGTTCTTTTCCCACTTTTTGGATATCTATACCGGATTCCGACCAATGAAAAAATATCCTGGGTCTTATGATTGGCGGTTTGGTATTTACAATCGACACTCTGATTGGTTACATTTAAGATACTTTCCTGGATACTACAGGGTGTCCCACATCAAATTAGACCGCGTCAATGGGTCTAAATTACGATTTGGGGGACAAATCAGAAAATTTTAGAAGAATGAATCATTTTGAAAAATTTAATAAGGCCAATAGAAATTTTTTTGCAGAAAATGCTAGATTTTTCGAGTATTATGTGCGTATTTAGGTGTTAAAGATTGGATATAATCTAATATGATATGGGGCGCTCTCTATAAGCTGAACATTAAAATAATCTTATGATTAACAAAAAGACGATGATTTCGATATCCACAATTCTAAAGTTTTCAGCTCTGAGCCCGTTTTCTCTGTACGAGTTGTTTGTGAACATTGGCTGTTCTTATGTTATTGAGTACATTGAATACATTGAGTACATGCGGCGTACATGAGTACAATAGAGAAATATTTAAATTTAGTGTCCTTCAATTCTTGCCACTATGAAATATTAAAAATATATAATAAAAGTGATGATAATAATAATAATAATAATGTATATTTTAAACTAGTTTCCAGGTTAAAAATTGCTCCGTAAAATATTGTTCTTCAAATAATTGAGCGATTTCATGGACTGCACAATTCTGGGTGATTTTGCGGACATAAGCTATCTATGTTTACTTATTTATGTATGGGGTCACCTCGTTATAGTACTGGAGACACCCCTCGAAAGCTCTGTTAACTGCTCCGCACTCTATCTGGGTGATCTTCATCTTAAAGGTTCTGCTCAAATAACAAAAAAAATATAAAAATCAAAGAATAAAAAAAGGTTTTTGGAAAGTTTACAATAATTTTTCAGACGGTTATTTTTTTATCAAAGATAAAATTGTGAATTTGATATTGTAATAAAGCAAAAAGCTCTTTATGTGAAATTATGGGTCTGAGGACACTGCACAATTGCTTTGATCATGCTCATGTTACTATATGTAATTATAACTTGAGTTTATACAGTCGTCTTCTTAATCCACAGTTTTCTGGTGTCCCACTGTACAATGTATACATTTAATTGTTTCTATTATACAGTGAATAACGTTGAGTGTGATATTAATACCGACCGGAATACATAATTTAGAATGGAATATCTAAATGTTGGAGAAGGAGAGAGGAGGAGAATTCTAAATTAATTACTAGGGAAGGGAAGTTAGTAAGTTTATCTAAAATATTTAATATAGGCAGCAGCTTACTAACTTATTTTGTTTTATCTACAGGGTGTCCCAAAACGCATGGGAATTCAGTGACGAATTCGATATCGTCTTTGTTATGAATTAGCATTTCAAAAGCCATGATATTATTATGTCTGCTAGAGTTTATTTAATGAAAAGGGTAAAATACTGCAAAGTATAATGTCTCCGCAAGATGAACAGTGAAGACGGACAAGTTTACTCTGTTTGTATACTGCAATTTTCTTGTACAACCGTATGCAGTCAAAACATAAACAAACAAAATGTGAACATAGCAGACGAAACTCTTACAGATTACAGCTTTCTCAGTAGGTATCACCATAGTAAATAAATGAATTATTTGAAAAGACGATATCGAATTCGTCACTGAATTCCCATATTTATTGGGACACCCTGTACAATAGGACGCATTAAAGGAACTGAGTATTTGCCACAAACTCAAATTTTCTAATTCCTATTTCTTTAAAACCTGATGATGTAAACCTTTGATATTTTAAACATTGGCTCTTTGCTCTAACAGAATTCATATTTTGAAATATTAAAGATCTACAACATCGGGTTACCTATGAATATGGGGATTATAATTTTGAGCTTGTGGCAAAAACTCATTTCCTTTGTGGAATATGAAGATGATTGCCAGACTCAATGGAAAATTTTATTCAACCCAATCAATGTTGAAATTGTTAGGTGTATACAGATTACTGTACTTAAGTAAAACTATTTCCTTATACCATCAAATAAAAATCCAAAATTGTCTGTATGCCGCCTACATACTTCACAATTTAATTTATTTAACTTTTAAGTTAATATGAGTAGTATGAGCTTTTAAAGCTAAATTTTATTTTTCAAAATTAGTTTAATTTCTTCTTCTTTGGCATGATGAGGGAGGGAGGGGTGGCTGCTCTCAGAAAAAAACATAGTTTTCCTCAGATATCTCAATAATTTGATGATGATTGGTATAGTGCGCGCCATATAGAAGGCTCTAAATTTGACATAGAACAATTCTAAGTAAAAACGTATTTTTTAAAAGCAAAAAACTGAATTTTTCGGAAAAAACTTGGAAAAAAGAAAACTTATGAAGATGTTGAGATGACTGAGACCATCTCAAATGAAACTTTTTTGTATCTAGCTAAAAAAATTGTTTTTTTTTTACATTTACCAATAATCTTTATTGTATAAGCTAAAACCAGTTTAGCTAATCAAAACTATTTGATCGCAACAGGCTACTTGGACTGAAAGCAGTTGAGTTTTTGCCACAAACTCTGATTTTCTAAACTCTATATCTTTGTAACCTAATGTCGTAGACCTTAGATATATTTCAAACTATGAATACTTATAGATAAAATAATCTATGTTTGAAATATCAAAATTTTGGGATCAGAAGGTTTGAGTTTGTGGCAAAAACTCAATTCCTTTGCGAATTTTTTTTCTGCAAATATCTGAACAAAGACAGTAAAAAAGTAGTAGCAGCTAGTCATTTTTTCAATTTTCGGTTTGGAAGTACTCTTTTTAAAGGACTTTTCATGAAAGGTCGGATCAATTTTCACATTTACTCCAAAACTGGAAGCAACTCCAAAATCCTGGGAGCAACTCCAAAATCCTGGGAGCAACTCCGAAACCCTGGGAGCAATTCCAAATCCTTGAGAGAAGCCACCCCTCCCTAGATGAGGTGAACAAGAAATTATTAATAAAAATATCAAAATATAGTTCTAATTGTTAATCGATTCCATGGGAAAAAAAACTTTTTTTTATATACAAGATAGCTGTTTTCAATATATTAAATGTCGTCATTACCTGTTATAATCTCCAGTTGTGATAAAGGTCAAAGAACAAGGGGAGTTTCCAGATCCTACCATTTCAGATGTTATATTTGTTTAAACTAATATTTTACTAGGATTTAAACTAAAGTCAGCCACATTTTAGTTTGAAATTTTTGGATATTTTCAAATATAACTCAATTTTCTGAATAGTTGTAACTATTAGAAACAATACACAAGTCCTCAATTAAGTTGATAATCTCTATTTTGTGTGTAAAATGAAAACGAGTCTTAAACTAAAGAATGCGCGAAATTTAAGTTACTAGCCTTATAGGGCGCTTCGTGCCCATCTTCTAAATTAATTATGAATATGTTCTCTTTGTGTACATCGTAAAACAAAACAAAAATATTTCGCGGATTTTCAAAATTTTCAAAAATTTAATGAAGATCGAATTTTGATGGAGACAAATATTTGAAATTTTGATCATTCATAAACCTTCCCTGTGGTCACGTGATGTCCCACAAAAAATGTGGGCCCGATCGGTTCAGCCGTTTTGACGTTTATTGGATACAAATAAAAAGACAGACAGACAGACAAAAAACAGACAGACAAGCCAAATTTATATATAGATAGCTTAAAAGTTCTGTAAAATAGTGAGTTGCTACTTAAATATTAACCTTTCTAAATTCAATTTTTTCACGAAACTGCAGCGCGAAAAACAACAATTGTATTTCGTATTAGATAAGTACAATGTATTTATTTATTCCAGATGACGGGAAAACATTTATAAATTTAAATCTTTAGATTAAATCATTTTCATGCATTGAAATATCGCAAAATTGAATGCGGGTATTTCCGGGTTTAAAATTTAACTCGCCAAAATCGACGTGTTAAATATTTAAGCTGTAGTCTAAAAGTCAGGTTTAAATTAAGTCAGAATTGGCATTTAAGCTGAAACTTAACATTTAAGTCGTAACTTTTCGTTCTTTAGTTTTGGACTCTGAAGTCGTACTTAAAGTAATTCCGAAAGAAAAAACGATATCTGGTAGAATTTGTCTTCGGAAATCGAGTTTTATGAAAATTCATTTTTTTAATACTTTTTGGTTTAAAACAAAACAGATAAAATCTTTTTAAACGTAAAAATAGCTCTTTTCCCGGTTTTCTTAAATTTGTTTTTTGTCAAAATAGATTGTTGGTTAGCCATGTCAAACCCGAACCAAACTGTCAATTTTCAAAAGTAGACCGAGTTAAAAAATAATTGCAAAAATTTTTCTTTTAAAGTAAATCATATTTTTAGATTTATCTGTCGCTTTCAAAGAATTTAATCAGAAAGACTTAAAAATGCATGTAAAGTTTTTGCAATGAAATCCTGACAAAATTCTAATTTCAATTTACACTTTACCTTAAAAAATTCAGGAAACTTTAGCTGAGAAAAGAAAAAAAGAAATTAGTAAGGAAGGGAATAATAGTGAAAAGATGAACAATGGAAATACCAAGAAAAAAGTGAGGGGTCATAGCACCGAGGAAAAAGATTTTTTGATAGAGAAGGGTGATGGAGGGAGGAGGCGAATGGAGTGGATGGTGGAGGACAGTGAGTAGAATGGAGATGTATTAGAGAAAAGGTGGAGGGAGGGAGTAGTATGTTGGAGGGAGGTGGGAGGAATGTGGTGGAGGGAGGATGGTGGAAGGAAGAGGGAGGATGGTAGCTGTATGTATAAAATGCCTTATTTTTCACAATAGCTTTATGTCAGATAAATAGAAAGTAGTTAAAGTAGTAATAATTTAAATTTTAAAATAAAGATATGTATTGATTTGTATATAAATGGTAGAACTCAGGGTAGTGGGGAATTGATAAAAAAATTCTTGAATAAATGATGATAAAAAAGTTTCAACAAGTCGGTGGTAGTGAGGGTAGTTTAAAATAAAAAAATTCTTGACTAAAAGTTGATATATAGATTTTAAAAAGTCGGAGGTAGTGAGGGTAGTGGGGAATAGAAAAATAAATAATTGAATAAATGTTGATAAAAAAGTTTCAACAAGTCGGTGGTAGTGAGGGTAGTTTGAAATAAAAAAATTCTTGAATAAAAATTGATATATAGATTTTAAAAAGTCGGAGGTAGTGAGGGTAGTGGGGAATTGAAAAAAATTCCCTCACTACCACCGACTTTTTAAAAATTTAATTTCAACATTTATTCAAGATTTTTTTTTTCAATTCCCAACCACCCTCACTGCCTTCGACTTTTAAAAATTTAATATTTACATAAATTAAATTATATTTTTCCGATTCCCTTCTTCCCTCACTACCCCGGACTTCTCAAAACCTTAATTTCAACATTTATTATTTTTTTTCAATTTCAAACTACCGTCACTTCCTAGACAAAATGCTTGAGCAAGTCTGAAAGAAAAAAAGAGGCAGTTTAAAGAATTTCAAAGTTGAATTTCTTGCTAAATGTTTTATTTTTTTTAAAGATTTTTCCAAAAAATTGTTATACTTTTTTTAAAAAATATCTGCTAACTACCTATGTTTATAAAAAAATCACCTATTTTTCAGCAAAAAAGGCATTTTATACGTTCAAGTACAGGGAGAAGGAAGGACGGAGGAGGATGTTGAGTATAGAGTAGTAGAGTGAGTAGAGTGTAGATGTATAGAAAAGGTGGAGGGGTTTAATTAAAAGCTTTGTCTAAATACAGAAACAGGGTTCTTTGCTTACCCAGCAATCTATTCTATCTTCATTAGGGTTGAAACAAAACAACAAAATTCTTCTCACAAAGTATTAAAAGATTTACTTTCTCTTTCAACCAAAGGTTAAACAAGATTGTCTACTGAGTAAGAGGACTGTAAGAATCAAAAACAACAGAAGTCTGGATGTCACTATTTTTTTGTTGCGGTGGGTTTTCCTTATTAGGCATCTGTAGTACTGTTCAAATATTACAGCTGACCATTGCTTATAGGTTTATATTACTGAAGGAGCCTATTGGGATCGTGATTGTCGTATAAAGTGTCATGTGCGCCTATTGGGATCGTGATTGTAATATAAAGTTCCATGTGCGTCTATTGGGATCGTGATTGTAATATAAAGTGCCATGTGCTACTATTGGGATCGTGATTGTCGTATAAAGTGCCATGTGCGACTATTGGGATCGTGATTGTCGTATAAAGTGTCATGTACGCCTATTGGGATCGTATTTCATCTATCCTTTCTGATTCTAATTTTAATAATTTGGTTTCATCTGTTAATACTGAACTAATTAAACTATCTTCTTGGTACAGAGCTAATGGTTTAAGTGTTCATCCAAAAAAATCTAAGTTTATCATCTTTAAGCCTACAAATTTCCACCTGCCGGAAGAAATTAACATATTTTTCAACAACAATGATCCTGGTGAAACGGATTCCTCAAAAATTTCTAAAATCCAGCGAATCTCCGACACTTCTGAAGAAAAGTCTGTACGGGTTCTTGGGGTTCTTTTAGACGAAAAACTTAAACTACGCTCCCATGTTAACTCTATCTGTTCAAAAATCTCAAGGTCTATCTATTGTATTGAACAGGGATACAGACCCCCAATATATGCTAAGAAATGGCGAAGACTTTGCAATTCCACGCTTAAAGTACCAGTATTTAAAATCACATCCTCTTTTTTATTTTCCGAATTTATGGAATAAATTTAAACCAGTGTTTAAAAATAGCATTGTTAAGAGCTCAACGTTTTCCAGTAATTTAAAATCTTATTTTCTACACAAACTTGATGAAAGCTATAGCATAGATTGTAACTGTTATTTATGCACTGTTTAGTTTGCTTGTACCCAGGGTCTAAGTACAATACCTTCTTATAATATATTGCTTTGTTGTCTATTCTCCAGGTTTACTTGGGCTCTCATGATTGGACCAACACAGAACCCTAACAGAAATATTCACCTCTCCTTCATTTTTTTTTTTTAACTTTCATCGTATCATACGCCGCATAAATCTAAAGTTTTCAGGGACCTGGACCAGACAGCCAGATATTGAGCTCTCCGGGTTTCCCGGCACTGTAATAATCATAGAATTCATCAATGTGTTTTTAACCCTTGTAAATGTATAATTATGTGCCTAATAAAATATTTATTTATTTATTTATTTGTCGTATAAAGTGCCATGTGTACCTATTGGGATCGTGCTTGTCGTATAAAGTGCCATGTATGCCTATTTGGATTGGGATTGTCGTATAAAGTGCCATGTATGCCTATTGGGATTGGGATTGTCGTATAGTAAAAATTCTAAATTTCTCCGTTCATTTTAAAAATACCACAATTTAAAAAGGTCAAAACACGTACACACGTAAAGTATAAATCTTTTGACATTCATAAACTTTTTAAAAAATTGAATCCGGCTTAATTCCCATGTTTATTGGGAAACCTTTTGGCTCACTTCGACGATGCGACGGAGTTTCATTCAAAAAATAAATGACTATATCATCGCCACAAGGAACAATAGAATATAATTTCAATATCATGACATGGAACCACTGTGTATCGAATCTATTACTGAGATCATGACATGGAACCACTGTGTATCGAATCAATTATTAAGATCAAAACTAGGAACCACTGTGTATCAAATCTATTACTAAGAAAAACACTAGGAATCACTGTGTATCGAATCTAATACTGAGATCATAACTAGGAACCACTGTGTATCGAATCTATTAATAAGATCAAAACTAGGAACCACTGTGTATCAAATCTATTACTAAGAAAAACACTAGGAATCACTGTGTATCGAATCTAATACTGAGATCATAACTAGGAACCACTGTGTATCGAATCTATTAATAAGATCAAAACTAGGAACAATTGTGCATCGAATCTCATACTAAGATCAAACCAAAGAACCACTGTGTATCGAATCTCATACTAAGATCAAACCAAAGACCCACTGTGTATCGAATCTTATACTAAGATTAAAACAAGGAACCACTGTGCGAATATCTTTCAGGGTTACCCACAAAGACTGAGACTTTTTTTAATGACTGGTTCTAAGGCAGAATCCCTAATCCAACCTTTTAATATTTGTATCAATGAAGATGTTCAGGTCCCCATGCAAGGTCTCCTTATTTGTGAGTATAACTGGGTAACCCTGAAGCAGCCAGGTCGTATTGTATAGTTTCAATGCAAAAACAAGTTTGATAAAATTTACATCTCCATGTTTCCAAGTGTCCTTCTCTTTTATTTTAGATAATTCAAGTTCTCTCAAATAAACTAAAATTGTCTAAAGGTTTGTTTTAAATAATCCCCCCTCCCCCCATCTTTAAACTTCAACTATCATAATTAAAAGAGAGGATACATCGATTACACATATCTAGTTGAGTGTGGGTAGAATTACTCTAAAGGAATCGAGTCTTTGCCACAAACTATAATTGTTTTATCACTATATCTTTGCAACCCAATGTCATAACCCTTAGATATTTCAATTTATGAGTTGTGTTAGATCAAATTGTTTAAGTTCGACTTGTAGAGTTTTTAGTTGGTTAAATCATGTGGATTTAACGGTTCTGTCAATATTTCAGAAAGCTGTGACTTTCGATCACAACTTGACCCCTTATACATAATTTTATAGCCTTTTTTTTGTAAATAATTATTGTTTGCATGTACATTTTGAATGAAAAAGTATAAAATAAACAAATCCGTAAGTTTAAAGATTGTAGAAATATAGACGAAAACACGTTTGATTTCAAATAGAAGAAACCGAATGCTTCTCTCTCTGGTTAGTTCTTGGTGAAATGCAACAATAAGATTATTTTAAATAGTGCAGTTCAAGGAATTAGTCAAAAGGTATTAAGTAAATGTGCCCCCGTCCACTCTCAGAACCAGCTTATTTTAAGATTTACATACTAAAAGATAAATATACTAAAATACCATTTCGTGATATTGTATTACATACATTTATATACATATAATTCCTAATTGAGACATTTAGTAGAATTAAAGAGAGAAGAGATCCATAGATACATAATAGATTACTGAATATTCAATATAATAATTGGGTATTCTTAAAGGGACTGTAAAGGATATTTTCAAAAGGTCATCAATGAATCGGGCATAAAGGGGCACTTTATCGGGCATTGTTTCATTGCATAAAGGGGAACTTGATCGGGCATTATTTCATTGCATAAAGGGGAACTTGATTGGGCATTGTTTCATTGCATAAAGGGACACTCATAGGGCATTGTTTCATTGCATAAAGGGGCACTTGATCGGGAATTGTTTCATTGCTTAAAGAGGCACTTGATCGGGCATTATTTCATTGAATAAAGGGGAACTTGATTGGGCATTGTTTTATTGCATAAAGGGACACTAATCGGGCATTTTTTCATTGCATAACGGGGCACTTGATCGGGCATTATTTCATTGCATAAAGGGATACTTGATTGGGCATTGTTTCATTGCATAAAGGGGCACTTGATCGGGCATTGTTATATTGCATAAAGGGCACTTGATCGGGCATTGTTTCATTGCATAACGGGGCACTTGATCGGGCATTATTTCATTGCATAAAGGGAAACTTGATTGGGCATTGTTTCATTGCATAAAGGGGCACTTGATCGGGCATTGTTTTATTGCATAAAGGGCACTTGATCGGGCATTAATTCATTGCATAAAGGGGCACTTGATCGGGTTTTGTTTCATTGCATTAAGGGGCACTTGATCGGGCATTGTTTCATTGCATTAAGGGGCACTTGATCGGGCATTATTTCATTGCATAAAGGGGCACTTGATCGGGCATTATTTCATTGCATAAAGGGGCACTTGATCGGGCATTATTTCATTGCATAAAGGGGCACTTGATCGGGCATTATTTCATTGCATAAAGGGGCACTTAATCGGGCATTATTTCATTGCATAAAGGGACACTTGATCGGGCATTGTTTCATTGCATAAAGGGGCACTTGATCAGCCATTATTTCATTGCATAAAGGGGCACTTCATTATTTCATTGCATAAAGGGGCACTTGATCGGGCATTATTTCATTGCATAAAGGGGCACTTGATAGGGCATTTTTTCATTGCATAAAGGGGCACTTGAAATAAAACTTTAGGCCTTGTATGTTCGTTAAATTAATGGTTTGTTTAAAGAGAGGGGCTCGGAGATCCATTAAGCTTAGCTTATCCAGGATACATTTATGTATATATATTAATGTATTCGATCTGTATAATTTGGCTTGTTATGGTGTTGGTTTGTTTGTATCCAATAAACATTTTAACGGCTAAACATATTGGGTCCACATTTTTTGCGGGACCTCCAGTCCAGGGCTAGGACGGGTTAAAGATGATCAAAATTTAAAAATTTTCCCGCAAAAAAATTTCAGCTAAAAAATTAGGATATGAAAACAGATAATTCTGCGAAATCTTATTTGTTATTGTTAGAGACAAAAAATGTACAATAATAAAATTTTCGTTAATCAAAACAATAAAAGCGCCATAAAACCTTGTACTGTACAACATTATACATATTTTTAATATGTCTATGTACAAATGTTTAATGTGTATATCTGCGTATATGTACATGTGTTTTTGTGTATACCTGCGTATATGTACATTTGTTTAATGTGTTTACCAGCGTTAAGGTACATGTGTTTAATGTGTATACTTGCACCTATGTACATGTGTTTAATGTGTATACCTGCGCCTATGCATTGTACATGTGTTTAATGTGTATACTTGCCCCTATGTTTATACCTGTGTCTATGTGCATGTGTTTAATGGGTATACCTGCGTCTATGTACATGTGTTTAATGTGTATACCTGGGTCTATGTACATGTGTTTAATGTATATACCAGACCTGGGTCTATATACATGTGTTTGATTTGTATACCTGCGTCTATGTACATGTATTTAATGTGTATACCTGCGCCTATATACATGTGTTTATTGTGTATACCTGCGTCTATGAACATGCATTAAATGTGTATACCTGCTTTTATATGCATGTATTTATTGTGTATACCTGCGGCTATGTACATGTATTTATTGTCTATACCTGGGTCTATGTACATGTGTTTAATTGTATTCCTGCGTCAATGTGCATGTGTTTAATGTGTATACCTGCGTCTATGTGCATTTATTTACTGTGTATACCTGCGTATTTAATGTATTTAATGTGTGTACCTGCGACTATGTAAATGTATTTAATGTTTATACCTGCATCTATGTACATGTATTTAATGTGCTTACCTGCGTCTTTGTACATGTATTTAATGTGTATAATACCTGCGTCTATGTACATGTGTTGACCAGAATTGTATCCGCATATTATCGGTACAGGGGAACCACCTGTATTTAGTTTATTTAGTAAAACACACTTTTCAAGGCTTAAGAAAAAAATTATATATTTGTTTATTTTACTTTAAAAAAAGTTTGAATAAAACTAGTTAAAAAATAAAAAAAAAGTTTAAATAAAACTAGTCAAAATTTATGAAAAGTTTGAATAAAACTAGTTTAAAAATATGAAAAGTTTGAATAAAACTAGTTAAAAAATATAAAAGTTTGAATAAAATTAGTTAAAATTTATGAAAAGTTTGAATAAAACTAGTTTAAAAATATGAAAAGTTTGAATAACACTAGTTTATAGAATATGAAAAGTTTGAAAAAAAACTAGTTTAAAAATATGAAAAGTTTGAATAAAACTAGTTAAAATTTATGAAAAGTTTGAATAACACTAGTTAAAGAATATGAAAAGTTTGAATAAAACTAGTTTAAAAATATGAAAAGTTTGAATAAAACTAGTTAAAATTTATGAAAAGTTTGAATAAAATTAGTTAAAAAATATAAAAAGTTTGAATAAAACTAGTTTAAAACTATGAAGAGTTTGAATAAAACTAGTTTAAAAATATATAAAGTTTGAACAAAGCTTTTTTAAAAAGCATGAGAAGTTCGAATAAAACTAGTTAAATGATAAAAAATTGAAGAAATTAGTCTTATTTTGAAAGGTTTGAATTAAACTGATTTGACAAACAGAAAAGGTTTCAAAAGGAATTGAGTTTTTGTTTCAAACTCTGAATTTCAATCCTTTGTCTTTGCAACTCAGTGTTGAAGACTTTTGATATTTCAAACTATAAGTTCTGTTAGATAAAATAGTTTAAGCTTAAAATGTCAAAGTTTGCAAAGATATTGGCAAAAATTGAACTCCTGTAAAATATTTGAAGAAAACTAATTTGACTTTTTTCAATGTTGCAAATTGGAGAAAAGAAAATATCTGAATTTAACCAGTTTGAAAAATAAATCGGTTTCAATAGAACTAGTTTGAAAAGGTGTATTTCCTGTTACTACAAATCTATCAATCGTGCACTAATAACATTTATTCAACATTGTAAACAAAATTGATTATTTTCTATGAATAAGATTAACTTTAGAATTGATACTTACACGCTGTGAAAAGGGGCTTTATTTCTAGAATTAAATTCGTCGTCCACCCCCTCCCGCTTCCCTTTTGTTACCCTACAAGGTGTCCGAATAATAAGTTGGTTTTCAATCATTTATAGTTGTTTTCATACAGAGCACTGCGGACTATAAAATAACATTTCCCTTTTGAAAGAAAAATAATTATTCAAAAAAAGTTTAAAGAAAATGTGTTTTTTTTTTAATGCAAAAGTTTTCTTTTTCTTAGAAATCATCCAAAACAGACTAAAACTTTAATTTATCTTGACAAGCTCTGGGTGATGTTCAGAAAAAAAGCTCTTTGTTAAACTTTTCATTTTGTACATTCTAGTGAAGCTTTGGCATGAAATAAAGAATATTCATATCAGTAAAAGTAGAAAATGGAACAAGTTTTCCCCAAGGAATACTTCCCATTGTCATTTTCCCCAGCGCAGACTCCTCAATATTTATATATTTATGTATTTTGGTCGTGGAAAGGGGGGGGGAGGGTTCATGAACTAATTTTTAACAGAACTGCAGAGAGCTCGCTGGAAGTCTTATATCGTGGTCTCTTTATGTCTTAAATCCAACAACGACAGCGTTTCACCTCTGACATAAATTCTGCGGCTAAAGTTTAGCCATCAACATGTAGATCTTCGGCTATGGTTTAGCCATCAACATATAGATCTTCGGCTAAGGTTTAGTCATCAACATGTAGATATTCGGCTATGGTTTAGCCATCAACATGTAGATATTCGGCTATGGTTTAGTATGTAAATATTCGGCTAAGGTTTAGCCATCCATTTAGATCTCAGCTAAGGTTAATTTTGCGATAAAAAATTCAATTTTCGCAAATTTGCAAATTTTTTTGCAGATTCTAAAAGTAGAGCACAAGAGCTTTCTAATGATGTATCATTTGTCATATTTCGACATAAAACATGGGATTTAGAGGGGGGGGGTCCCCCCCCAGCGTATCCTGGTTTTCAAGTACCCCAGCGGGGATAGGGTTAAAAATCCACAAAAATTTTTTTTATTAAAACCGCGAACTTTTTTTTGGTTTTGTTTTCCACTAAACCAGTTGAAACAGAAGATGGGCGCGAAGCGCCCTTATAGCGTTGAAGTTAATAGTAGTCAAACTAAATATCAAATGGTTTTTAAACCTGAAACTTATAAGATATAACCTCCACTGCTTCTTGTTGATTCAGAATTGAGAACTTATCTTACTTACTAGGGATCCAGCATTGATCTTATGTACTGTTGTGTATATAAGGATCAAACATTGATCTTAGGCATGGTCTACGGATCAATTTAATTACTCTCCGATATCCTGTAATAGTTATACCCTACAGGGATTAGGCTTTTATCCTCAAATTTTAAATTGCACACATTGGATTTCGAGATTAAGCTTCCAAGATTAACAATACCTGACATACAAGTTCTTTCCTCTGAAGATTTCTAGGAGAAAATGTATATTTTGAAAAGAAAATAGAGGTCATTTCAAGAATCGAAAATAAATTAGTAGATTAAACACACATTTTATCGCGGTTTTCTACAATCAAAACCTCTCAGAGCGGGATTTTTTAAAATTATAATCAACCTAAGAGACATTTAAGCAACCTAACATTCTGCCATAATAGTAAATAGGGAAATGTTCCTTCTAGAATGTTTGACAAGAACAAAGACGGTAAAAGAAGTCTCGTGTATTGAAAGAATAATATACAGAAAATAGATTGAAATCTTAGAGACTCTTTTTGAAAAGTTCTCGAGAAGAACAAAAAGTTTTAAATCTTTAATTTTCAAGCAAAAATCTTGCTTCTAGCTCTAACTTGGGCTTAAACACAAAACTTGAGGCGCTACGAGGTCACGAAGTGGTACCAGTAATCTCTCATCGATTGGAGATTACTACGTCAAGATTTGAGTGATTTGAGTAAAAGAGTTTCTTCTTAATTGTCCAGAAAACCCTTTGATTTCCCCTCTCACGGTTAACTAAGAGTCCAGAGGCCGATTTTAAAGAATTAAAAGTCTTAACTTTAGACCCCATTTCTACCCATTAAATTTTGATATTCGTATTTACTATTTTATACATTTTTTGTTGGGCTTTCTTTTTAAACTTTTAAGTAGCCAAGGTATCTTACGATATTTTTGACGGATTTCTAATGAGAGATCAAAATATGACATGAAAATATTACGATACAGACAAGATGCACTTCGTTTTAGTGAGTTTCACGTGCCAATGCATCTTAAACATTGCAGTGTGCAGAGTGCACCACTATGAAGATCATAGGATATCGAGGGTATTCTGCAAGACAAGTAAACTCTGTGTCCATTTTCATCAAGAATATGCATTTAGCAAAATATATTTGCACAAGGAGAAATCCTCCTTGTTTTATTCAAAACCATTTTATTCATGCAAAGTTTATGCAATAATAAATCTCTTTTTTCCAAGAATATTTTCCATTAATGGTAACAAATCTTTAAAATATATTTCATAGTTAGAAAATCTTTGAAACTATTTTTAATTAATATGCTATCTTGGTAAATAATTTGTTTATCACTAATAAAAAAGGGATTTATAAATAGTTATATTATTGTTTAGAAAATGCGCAATTTGCATTAGTAATATTTTTGTGGTATATTGTATTTAAAGTGCAGGGGGAGGGAGGGGGGTATAATCCATAGCAACATAAAAGGGAGCTCATGAAATACCGTACATCTATCTAGTAATCTTATAATGTTGAATATCCCTGATGTGTTTGAGGATCAGGTTGCTGGATATCCATAACATCCAGATCTAGTCGCAGCTGACATACATCTGCTGCAACCTAGAGATGAACATGATTCTGTATATCCTTCCTATCTAGATCTAGTCTTAGCTAACATATATCTGCTGCAACCTAGAGTAGAACATGATACTGTATATCCATCCTATCTACATCCTTAGCTGACATACATTTGCTGCAACCTAGAGTAGAACATGATACTATCCATCCCATGATTTAAGAAAAAACGAACTTTAAAAATCTGATTATTCCCGTGTCATTAAAATGATCTTATTTTTTGTGGGTTCACCTGAACATAAATTGTTTGAAAATCTTGAGTTAGTTCTGTAATTGTCTGCAGTATCAAATTTATTAGAAATGAAAAACAAACCTTATCTATTATTTATGTTTTTGCTCTGGAATTGTAATTTATAATAAATGAAAAATCTTGTTTTGTACAAAATGTTTGCTATACACTGCATCCTGAATACAGTTTATTATCCAATATTTAAACTGACACAATTATCGAGTAGCCGCTACCAGACAACCCGTTAACCGTTACTGTATTTGTTAGCAAACAAGCAAACCGTAACCGTTCCATTATTTGTTAGATACTATAGTGCAAACCGTTAACCGTTTCTGTATTTGTTAGCTAACGTAACAGTGCAAACAGTTAACCGTTTAAGGGGTCAAAGTGTGCTTCAATAATAAGCGGGGTGGTTGGGTGTTTTAATGGATTTCATAATAGAGTGTAAAATAACTCCGGGAATGGAACTATTTAAACAACAATATTTCACTGAGCAATATATCATATTGACGAGAACTGAAGAACGACATGAGAAGGACTAAACTAACTTAAATTTCTCTCTACGGAACTCATGTACACCGCAAGTACTCAATGACATAAGAACAGCCAATGTTCACAACCAATCTAGTTAATCTATATAATAGGAAAATATTTAAAACATCACTGTACATTTATATCTTTCAAGATGTAAAATGTCGTCTTATGTGCAATCTATCTTTATCTATGGTGCAAACCGTTAATCGTTTCTGTATTTATTAGATAACAGGCAAACAGAAAAGAATTAAATCTCCAATTTACAAACATAATATTCACAATAAACACATTTACGAGTGTTTGAGTGGACATTGATTTTACTTAATGAGGTTTCGCTTGGTTATCATTCTGCACTAAGGTCCCCCGACATTTTTTTTAACGAAAATCATACAATTAAGTTAGTTACCTTTTCTACGGTTATAGAGCACTGTCCAATCCTGTTATATCCAGATGGATAATTATCATTTACAAAATATGTTGAATTCTTATTTGTTCTTGTCCCGCAGGAATACTAAAACAGAATTGAAAACAATTAGTTCTAAAAAAAACTTCAAAAATATTCCGAAAAAACTGCCTAAATTCTATTCTTACAAACTCCACTGTCTCAAGTCTTAACTTCTACCTTTTGAGTATTAAACAGAAGATTAGGAATCCACTGTTTTCCATTAACCCCAGCGCATTAAGTAGAGACCAAAACCATTGTATAAATCTATATCACTAGACAGAAGACTTTAAACCCAGAGACTGCCTTTTTATCTGGTGTAAACAGCAGACTCCGAACCCAAAGACTAACTTTTTACCTGGAGTAAACGGCGGACTGCGAACCCACCATCAAAACCTTATACCTGGAGTGCACAGCTATACAGACTCCTAACCCACTTTCTTAACCTATACCAGGAGTTCACAACTTTCTCCAACCCTATTGTTTAAACTTATACCTGGAGTTCACAACAGACTCCGAAACCACTGTTTGAACCTATCAATGTTTGAACCTACAAATAAGACTTCAGACCCTCTTTTAAAGCCATAAACCGGGAGTACACAGATTACTCCGAACCCATTGTTTAACCATATACCTGTAGTACACAGCTGACTCCGAATCCATTGTGTAACCATATACCTGGAGTACACAGCAGACTCCAAATCCATTGTTTAAAAATATACCTGGAGTACACAGCAGACTCCGAACCCAGTGTGTAACCATATACCTGGAGTACACAGCAGATACGAAACCATTGTCTAAACCTATACTTGGAGCACACAGTATACACCGAACCCATTGTTTAAGCATATTCCTGTAGTATACAGCAGGCTCCGAATCCATTGTTTAAACATGTACCTGGAGTACAAAACATACTCCGAATCCATGTATAAACATGTACCTGGAGTACACAGCAGACTCCGAATCCATTGTTTAAACATGTACCTGGAGTACAAAACATGCTCCGAATCCATGTTTAAACATGTACCTGGAGTACACAGCATTCTCCGAACCCATGTTTAAACATGTACCTGGAGTATACAGCATACTCCGAATCCATTGTTTAAACATGTACCTGGAGTACACAGCAGACTCCGAACCCACTAGCACAGGTTCCGGATGCCTTCCCTCCAAACTCCGTACACTCCTGAGTAGTGTAGCAGGTTCCATTTTCTCCGGTAGACGCCGAACATTCGTCATTTGTAAACTTGACCCAGGTTATCAAATTCAAGAACTTTCCCTTAGCCTGAGATGTTTTAGAGCTGCTTCTCAAACTATCTCTGGGTTCAGATGTCTCTGATACTATTGGCTGGATTTTATCATAAGGTTCCTAAATTACAGAAATGCATTTAATGCGTTGATTATTTATCATCTATTGTACATATTCGATAATTTGATAAAATTAAAATTAAAATTAAAATTAAAAATTAAAATTAAAATTAAAATTAAAATTAGAATCGTAATTAAATATCAGATTTTCTTAATTTTCTTGAGATTTACAACACAAAAAAATATTTATTTCAATGAGAATCTAAAATGAAAACATTTGTGTGAAGTATCTTTAATATTGAACGCTTCATCTGGATATCTAACACGGGCACTTTTGAATGTTAAGATAAATGCTTAATTGCTTTATTTTAGTTATCCCTGCAATGTATGACCAACACGAGATATAAAAAAATATCAATATATTAATCCGTAGGACTGCAAAAGATCAATGCTTGATCTCGATATTCACAACACAAAAGTTGTGACTTCAGGTTCTCGAAAATGTTGATAAATGATGTGGCAAAGAAATGAGATTGCGGTTGCACCAAACCATGAATTTCAGAAACCAGGGCAAGGAACTTGTGTGTTGGATACCAATAATCCCAATTGCATGATCTCGATATCAACTGCGGGCACTTTTGAGTTTAGGATCAATGCTTAATCTTGTCATTTTAGTTACGCGATTTCCATGCGGGACATCGGATAAATATTAAAGAAATCTGTAGTTTAACAAGCAAGTTTGATCTCGATATCCACAATACAAGAATTCCCACCTCAGATGGAATAATTTTTACTTTTGTGAAATTATCTTATATCATAAAAAATGAAAAAACGCATTTTTCTGAAACTGCGTGGTTAATTTCTCAAGTTAAATAGTTTCTTGAAGAATGTGGGTTAAAGATTGAAAAAGAATATAGAATAGATTCATCTTAAATTTTCTGTTAATTTAATTTCTAATATCTAACCATATAAGCTGGTTCCCCCCAGACTAAGAGGATTATATTGATGGCTATTATGATTCTCCGCATTTTCAGACTCTACAACACACAATCTGTGGGCTAGAGACATATTTATACTTTTTTAGTGGATTCTTAATCTTTTTACCCTCGACTTTACCACCAGCTTGACTTTTCACACCCTTGACTTTTCCCACCCTTGATTTTTCCCACCCTTGACTGTTCACACCCTTTATTGTTCACACTCTTGACTTTTTCAACCATTGACTTATCCAAACCTTGACTAATCCATTCGCTGACCCTTTTCACCCTTTACTTATCCAAGACTTGACTTATCCCACCATTTACTTCCATTGACTTTTCCCACCCTTGACTTCTCACATCCTTGACTTTTACAATTCTTAATTTTCCAGATTCTTGACTTATCCAACTCTGGACTAAAACAACCCTTGACTTATTCAACTCTTGACTTATCCAACCCTTGACTTATTTAACTCTTGACTTATCCAACCCTTGAATAATCCAACCCTTGACTTATCCTACCCTTAACTTATCCAACCCTTGACTTATCCAACCCTTAACTTATCCAACCCATTGACTTATCGAACCCTTGACTTTATCCAACCCTTAACTTATTCAACCATTGACTTATCCAACCCTTAACCTATCCAACCCTTGACTTATCCAACCCTTAACTTATCCAACCCTTGACTTATCGAACCCGGCCTTGACTTATCGAACCCTTAACTTATCCAACCCTTAACTTATCCAACCCTTTCCTTATTTAGCCCTTGACTTATCCAACCCTTTACTTATCCAACCCTTGACTTATCCAACCCTTGACTTATCCAACCCTTGACTTATCCAACCCTTGACTTATCCAACCCTTGACTTATCCAACCATTCTCTTATCCAAACCTTGACTTTCTTATCCAACCCTTGACTTATCCAACCCTTGACTTATCCAACCCTTGACTTATCCAGCCATTCTCTTATCCAAACCTTGACTTTCCGACCCTTAACTTATCCAACCCTTGACTTATCCAACCCTTGATTTGGTTGAATAAGAGAAGACTACTACTCCTGTTCAACTAGAAAGCTAAACTAACTCTTTACTCCGAATAAAGAAGAGAACGGATTAATGACAAATCATTCTTTCAACCCTTTAACTAGGAATTTAATTAAACACCTTCGTCAGGGGTGTTTCATTCTGCATCGTTCCCATCCTACAGATTAAAACATTCAACACTATTTTAGTTTATTTCATCCTGTCTGTTATATATCAATCATGGAATAATGTACCCCGACCTTCCTTTTAATTCTCTGTCAATTCCCTTACTTTTAAACTTTTTAGACGCTTACCTTTCTTCAAGCGGAACTTTTCTTATATCTTTCTATCCATCTAGCAACCGTGTTTACTGTTTATGCATTGAACCCCGTATCTCAAGGAAAATTTTACTTTACTTTCGCAGGATCGAATTATTCAGTGCACACGCACGTTATTATAAGTTTAATTCATAGAGAAAAGAAACTGAAGAGTTAAGCTTATCTCAAAATCCCCTGGTTTACCTGGTTAAAAAAAATTGGATTTTATATGTTTCCATAGATCTTTTTCCAGATCTGACGCCGACGAAGACGACGAAATAGTCATATATATTGTCAACCTGTCCTGTAATTAATAATCTTTCAAGATTTCATGATGTTTTTTTTAACAGCCTATCTGTCTATTCTTTATTTATCTGTCTATCTATTCATCTGTCTATTATTCATCTATTCATCTCTTTATCGATTCAACTATTTGTTCATATATCAATCTATTCATCTGTAAATCTATTTATCTATTCATCCTTTCACCTATTTACCTATTCATCTATTCATCATTTCACCTATTTACCCATTCATCTGTTCATCTATCTTGACATCTATAGAACAAAAGTTTAAACCATCTATTTATCTATTAATCTATTAATCTATTTATCTATTCATTTATTCATCTATTCATCTATTCATCTTATCACCTATTCATCTATCATCTATTCATCTAGTCATCTAGTCATCTATTCATCTATGCACCTATTCACCTATTCATCTAGTCACATATTTATCTATTCATCTATGCATCTATTCACCTATTCATCTATTCATCTATTCATCTAGTCACCTATTCATCTGTTCATCTATGCACCTATTCACCTATTCATCTAATCATCTATTCACCTATTCATCTATTCATCTATTCATCTATTCATCTATTCATCTATTCATCTATTCACCTATTCATCTATTCATCTAGTCACCTATTAATCTATTCTTCTATACATCTATTTATCTAATTTAGCTTGACATCTATAGAACTAAAGTTTAAACCATCTATCTGTCTATTCATCTATCTTCTCCCTTCTTTCTCTTGGTTTTTCTTCTGAGTAGTTTGTTAACTGTAAATTAGAATTAGAACAAATTGGTTAAACCTAAAGGATAGATAGATAGATATTTAGATAAATAGATAGATACATGGATGTCCCAACAAACAGGAAAATTTACAACATTATAATTGTCTTCGAATCTACATTTGTTTGTATATTGGAAGAGATGTACAAAAAAGACACTATACGTCTCATTTGCTTTACAAGATAAAGTATATCTAGAAAATTCCGTCTTAAAAATTTTTAAAAAACTCCATGTTTGTCAATTAGAGAATATGAAAGTCGTCTTTTAGCTCTTATGTTTTTGGAAAACCATCTAGATGCAGGCTAGACTTTTAGTTTTCATGTTTATGGAACACCATCTAGATGCAGGCTAGACTTTTAGTTCTCGTGTTTTTGGAACACCATCTAGATGCAGGCTCGACTTTTAGCTCTCAGCTAAGAATACAGATAGATAGTGAAGTTCAGATCATGGTTCAGACTGACTTTATTGGATGAATAGATGGTCAGATAGATAGACAGTAAGAAATAGATAGATAGATAGATAGATAGATAGATAGATAGATAGATAGATAGATAGATAGATAGATAGATAGATATATGAATAGATGGATAGATAGTCTAATTTGAAATCTGATATTCATGAATTAGACAATTTAAATATCTACTTAAAAATGTCTGATTCAATTAGTCCATTTTTAGGCTTGTAATATTTAAAATGACAATTGTTCAAACTTTTAAAGTTTCCGAGTTGAGTGAGAAAACATGGGCCCCAACAGTTCATCTCCGTTCCAAAATCTTGTATTCAATATTTAGCTGTAATTAAATAAACTTGAAGGAAATGTTTTAAATTGGCGATAAAAGATGTTGCCATATAGGAAAAAAATAATCCAACATAATGTTTCCACTTTTCCCTGGGAAAATACTGAATTTCTCATTCTAAAGTTGAAAACTTGAATCTGCAAAAGACTGGGATGACTGCCTGGAGGGAACTATTTACTTGGATCAGATTTGTAATTCATGAATATACTTGAAGAAACACGTTGGCTTGGAATTCTCGTAACTTTTATAATTTTATGACAAAACTTCAATAATTTGCATTTTAGCTGTATAGTTTACTACATTGGCTCAGCTGTATAATCTATATATAAATTTGGCTTGTCTGTTTGTTTGTTTGTCTGTCTGTTTGTATCCAATAAACGTCAAAACGGCTGAACCGATCGGGCCCAAATTTTTTGTGGGACATCTAGGGACCCCAGGGAAGGTTTATGAAAAATCAAAATTTCAAATATTTGTCTCCATCAAAATTCGATCGTCATTAAATTTTTAAACATTTTGAAAATCCGCGAATTTTTTTGTAAAAATCCGGGAATTATTTTTGTTTTGTTTTACGATGTACACAAAGAGAACATGTTCACAACTAATTTAGAAGATGGGCGCGAAGCGCCCTCTAAGGCTAGAAAGAAGGGCGCGAAGCGCCTTGAATTTCTAGTATTTTAATATTTTCGTAATGCTAGAATCTTGCTTTGATAATATTCAAAGATAGCGGTTTGAGATGTGTTCAGGATCCCTGGTTTACTGATAGTATCGGAGTATGCACTATGCAGTCCTGTCTCTAGTATCCCTGGTTTACTGAAGGTATCGGAGTATGCAGTCCTGTCTCTAGTATCCCTGGTTTACTGAAGGTATCGGAGTATGCAGTCCTGTCTCCAGTATCCCTGGTTTACTGAAAGTATCGGAGTAAGCAGACAGCTGTGTCTCGTACCCTGGTGTAATGAAGGTACCGTAGTTGACAGTCCTGTATCTAGTATCCCTGGTTTAATGAAGGTACCGGAGTATGCAGTCCTTTGTCTAGTATTCATGGTTTGCAGAAAGTATCGGAGTAAACAGTCCTGTCTCTATGATCCCTGGTTTACTAAAGGTATCGGAGTAAGCAGTCCTGTGTTTATTATCCCTGGTTTACTGAAAGTATCGGAGTATGCAGTCCTGTCTCTAGTATCCCTGGTTTACTGAAAGTATAGGAGTAAGCAGACCTGTCTCTAGTATACCTGGTTTACTGAAAGTATAGGAGTAAGCAGACTTGTCTCTAGTATAACTGGTTTACTGAAAGTATCAGAGTAAGCAGTCCTGTGTTTAGTATCCCTGGTTTACTGAAGGTACCGGTGCAAGCAATCCTGTCTCAAGTATCCTTGGTTTACCGAAGGTACCGGTGTAAGCAATCCTGTCTCTTGTATCCCTGGTTTACTAAAGGTACCGGAGTTAGCAGTCCTGTGTTTAGTATCCCTGGTTTACTGAAGATACAGGAATAAGCAGTCCGTTGTCTAGTATTCCTGTTTTACTGAAGGTACCGGAGTTTACAGTCCTGTGTTTAGTATCCCTGGTTACTGAAGGCACCGGAGTTTACAGTCCTGTCTCTAGTATCCCTGGTTTACTGAAGGTACAGGAGTAAGCAGTCCTTTCTTCCAGTATCCCTGGTTTACTGAACTTACAGGATTAAGCAATCCATTGTCAAGTATCCCTGGTTTACTGAAGGTACAGAAATAAGCAGTCCTTTGTCTAGTATCCCTGGTTTACTGAAGGTACCGGAGTTTACAGTTCTGTGTTTAGTATCCCTGGTTTACTGAAGGTACCGAAGTTTACAGTCCTGTCTCTAGTATCCCTGGTTTACTGAAGGTACAGGAGTAAGCAGTCCTTTTTTCTAGTATCCCTGGTTTACTGAACTTACAGGATTAAGCAATTCTTTGTCTAGTATCCCTGGTTTACTGAAGGTACAGAAATAAGCATTCCTTTGTCTAGTATCATTGGTTTTCTGAAGGTACCGGAGTTGACAGTCCTGTGTCTAGTTTCCTTGGTTTACTAAAGATACAGAAGTAAGCAGTCCTTTGTCTAGTATCCCTGGTTTACTGAAGGTACAGGAGTTGACAGTCCTGTGTTTAGTTTCCCTGGTTTACTGAAGATACCGGAGTTGACAGTCCTGTGAATAGTATCCCTGGTTTTTCTGAAGGTACCGTAGTTGACAGTCCTGTGTTTAGTTTCCCTGGTTTACTAAAGGTACCGGAGTAAGCAGGATGTTTATGTTCTCATATACTCTGGAAAGACAAGGTTTAAGTATCTTTCAGTTGGGTTTACTGAGACAGAAAAGATATTTTCTCCGCAAGACTCCGATAAAATAAATTATCCTCTCTTTTTCTTTGATAACTTAACAAATCCTTTTAACTCCAATCCAATATTTCAGAATAAACAGATAAAAAGATTGAAAGTCTGGTTTGCTCGAGGAGCTCTGGGCAAAATGATTTGCAGCAGAGGCGAGAGAGAACACTTTGAATCTATTGAAAAAGTTTTCCTGTTTTGAATTTATCTTCCAGTTTCTACGTCCTGCCGGGGGTTTAAGTTGGATGAGTTTAGTTTCAAGTTTGAATACTTTTGTGTATCTTTAACACCGGGTCATCTTCATATTGGTTTATACGTTTCTTCTCTCCAAGCTTTGTATAATAATACTAAATAAGGGAGATATAGGGTTTATTTACTGCCACATATAATATTTATATAAATGCTTAGCAACTATAGTTTAAGGTAAATAAATAAATAAGTAAACAAGCCCTGCACAGTGCACACCTCCTATATCCTGTACAGGAAAGTTGCAACCTTTTTTGAAATTTTTGTAGTCACACTTCCATTAGCGCCTGATCCAATCAGGGTTCAGTCATGTGTTTGTTGTCTATTCTGAACCAATAAAAACTGTACGGCGGTATATATCTTTCTATTTATCTAATTATCCAATGAGAGATATGAATCCTTCAATCGGCGCTAACAGTAAATGGACATATTTACTTCTACTGAAACTATAGTGTATAGTAGTCATAACAAGTCACAAATGTGTCTCACAACCCTGAAGTCTAATTTTTACCCTGCTAAAGCTTCCTACTGACAAGTAAATTTAAAAATCGTTTCATGAGATCCAGCTAATCCCCATATACCATATTCTATAAACCAGGGCTACAGGGACTAGTATGTAGCGTCAAATACTAGTCTTGTGAACTCTGTACACTGTACAGATATAGAAAGGGCTACCCAATAAAATTGGACTTCAGAGATGACTGTACGTAATGTTTTCAACATTATTTCTCAAATTCATAGATTGCTACAGCTAGTACAGCTAATTGATTTGTTTGTTTGTTTATTTCTTTAAAATATCATTAAGTTCTATATTTAGGGGACACCCTGGCCCATAGTTCAACCATCAGACTGTCATTAAGTCCCATATTTAGGGGAGACCCTAGCCCATAGTTCAACCATCAGACTGTCATTAAGTTCTATATTTAGTGGAGACCCTGGCCCCTAGTTCAACTATCAGATTGTCATTAAGTTCTATATTTAGGGGAGACCCTGGCCCATAGTTCAACCATCAGATTGTCATTAAGTTCTATATTTAGTGGAGACCCTGGCCCTTAGTTCAACCATCAGATTGTCATTAAGTTCTATATTTAGGGGAGACCCTGGCCCCTAGTTCAACCATCAGATTGTCATTAAGTTACTTATTTAACTCTCATCCATTAAGGGTAACACTTTTTTTGGTGCAGGCTAAATAAAATAAATTGTAAGTTTCTCTAAAGAGAAAAACCAATTGGACTCTCAAAACCTTTATTTGTAAATAATAATAAACCTGTAATAAGTTCACAGTGTGAGTTAACATGGTGTAGTAAAAAATCTAAACAATACAGCCTAATATCTCTATCTCTAAATATTAAAACAAAAATCATATAAATTTATTTGTTTTGATTACTTTTGGTTATGCATACAAATTGAACATAAATAAATAATATGTTTTACAGAGATAATTGTTCAGACAAAACGGATTAAAGACGTTTTAAATTGTTTTATAAAAAGGTGTTGAGATAACTTCCAAATGTAAAAAAGAGAAGTATTATGTAAAGATTGAAAAATGCAGGAATTGTTTCTAAGAGCTAAGTAAGCCCCTGGGTTTTAGTTGCACAAAATAACTATAAAATTAAATTTATGAAATTGTGAGAAATAATTTTAAACAGATTTCTAGTTTCTACTTTAATCTTGGCAAAATCATGAGTGAATTAAAACAAAATCTAGGAATTTTCATCAAATATTCGTTCAGATGAAAACTGGATTAATCTTCAGTAAAATCAGGAACATTCTATTCCCCAGTGTGCACTGTACATCAACATACATAACTAGGCTTTTAGGGCGCTTCGTGTCCCCTCTCCTATCTGAAAGGGGCCATTTTTAAACATTATCAAATTTTGGCGGATTTCTTTGTGAACTAGCTCATTTTCTAAAATATTAACTGTCGATTTTTTTCTGGACAAAATTGTTCAACTTTTACGGTTCATAAAACTTCCCTGGGTGAGCTGTCATTTAAAAATTGGGTCCGATCGGATCAACAGTTTTGACGTTTATTGGATACAAACCAACAGATAGACAAGAAAATAATAAATTATGCAGTAGTTTCACAACTTAGCTTATTATGCATTAAGCTTGCTATGTAAACGATATCATTTATGCGTATACAACGCTATATACAATGTACTAAAATATTAAGATTATATAGCTAATGATAAACACTGTATAAAGGTTCACTGAACATACTACCGGCTGCATATATATATAAGAATATGTGAACTAACGATGTAAATTATATTTAAAGAAAACGTCGTTAAACTCAGATATTTTTGGTCCCAACGCTGAAGGTGAAAAACTTGTTATGGACAGTAAATATTCGTAATGGATGATTTTTATGCTATCAAGAAATTTAAACTGTTATTAGTAATAATATGGCAAGTGTTAAAGGAAATTAATTTCATTTTCTATGATTGTATATTTGTATTTCTCACATCACATTGTATATTTGAGAGCGATAGAAATGAGAAAACATAAAAAAATGAGAAAAAAAAACAAAAAAGACCTTTTACAAGAAAATTATCTCGGAAACAGAGATTTAACTTGAATGTTTAAATTAGAGAATAAATGAGGGAAAAAGTTAAATATTTAATTTTCTAATCCATTGCTCCTCCAACTTGACTACTTGCAAGCATCAAGATATCCTTCCTTTCTTTAGGAAACCTCAGCTCTCGTCCAGCCAACCTGGATAGACAACATTATTTTATATCCCTGGTCAATATATTGTTTTTATATCCCTGGTAAACAGATTATTTTATATCCCTAGTCAATATATTATTTTATATCCCTGGTGACAAGATTATTTTATATCCCTGGTCAATATATTGTTTTATATCCCTGGTGAACAGATTTTTTTATATCCAGCTGGTGAACACATTATTTTTATATCCCTGGTAATATATTGTTTTATATCCCTGGTGAACACATTGTTTTATATCCCTGGTGAACACATTATTAATATATCCCTGGTGAACACATTCTTATCATTTCCCTGGTGAACACATTATTATTATATCCCTGGTGGACAAGATTATTGTAAATCCTTCTTGACAACATTATGTTATATCCCCGGAAAAAAACATTGTTTTATATCTCTGGAGACAACATTATTTTATATACCTGGTGACAACATTATTTTATATCAGTTTAGTGGGACAAACTGTGTACTAGATATCTGGTTCTAACCTGGAAGATTCAAGATCTCTCTCTGCCAGGTTGAGTTCTCGAGCAATTATCCCCGGGATCTCCTGCTCCCGTGCAATCCAGTCCAGCGCCATCTGTGACCTCATATCATCATCCAGGGCTCTATGGGAGTAGTGTTGAACTACCTGAACACAACAGTCATAGTTTGATCACAGATTTTACAGACAGGACACCAGAGAAAATATAACTTGAATTATCTATATCTTGTGTAAGATCACTTTTAAGCGTGCAACCTAACCATTTCGACTACACAATATCAATTCAAATTAAATTTAATTATTTCAACAATGAAAAAATAAATTATTTCTAATTTGTAGTCTTTATCTTTTTATGTAGAATGTTCCAGAATATGTTTTTAACAAACTACATCTTAATTTTCATGGTGCTCCTTCCTACCTCTTGTCTACTGCACTGACGTTCTCGCATAGCCTTCAGAGAGCCGTTCCAATGTAGAAGTTGGAACACTGTCATAAGTTCCTGAAATGAAACCTATAGTGCTATGTTAGACAAAAAGAAGTGTAACCTGGAATTCTAGCATAGTTAATTGTTTTAATTAAAAGGATTTTAACCTGGAATTCTAGCATAGTTAATTGTGTTAATAAAAAGGATTGTAACCTGAAATTCGAACATAGTTAATTGTTTTAATAAAAAGGATTTTAACCTGAAATTCTAGCATAGTTAATTGTGTTAATGTAAAGGGATTGTAACCTGGAATTCTAGCATAGTTAATTGTTTTAATAAAAATGGGATTGTAACCTGGAATTCTAGCATAGTTAATTGTGTTAATGTAAAGGGATTGTAACCTGGAATTCTAGCATAGTTAATTGTTTTAATAAAAATGGGATTGTAACCTGGAATTCTAGCATAGTTAATTGTGTTAATGTAAAGGGATTGTAACCTGGAATTCTAGCATAGTTAATTGTGTTAATAAAAAGGGATTGTAACCTGGAATTCTAGCATAGTTAATTATGTTAATAAAAAGGATTGTACCTGGAATTCTAGCATAGTTAATTGTTTTAATAAAAAAGGATTGAAACCTGGAATTCTAGCATAGTTAATTGTGTTAATAAAAAGGGATTGTAACCTGGAATTCTAGCATAGTTAATTGTGTTAATAAAAAAGGATTGTAACCTGGAATTCTAACATAGTTTTGCCCAGGTTCTGCTCCAGCATAAACCTATATGCTCCAATACCCGTCCCACCTCCCTCCATGTCTAACCGACCACCCTGAGATAGCAACAATCAAAATAAGAACCAACCCAAAACTTGATGGTCTTGATTAACGATGTTCATGAAAAAAAGTTATAAACTTTTCAAAATGTTTATTTCTTTTTTAATTTAAATACATCTTTATAAAGGAATCGAGTCTTTGCCACATACTCTGATTTTTTAATCCCTAAATCTTTGTTACCTGCGCCCTATACCTTAGATATTTAAATCTATGAATTCTGTCAGATTCAATAATCTAAGTTTGAGATATCAAAGATTTACACCTTCGGGTTACAAAGATATTGGGATTAGAATATTTGAGTTTATGGCAAATACTCAATTCTTTTTCACTAATTTTTATCGCTTATATTATTTTTTTCTTTTGTAATTTGGTTAAAAAATGTGTTAATTTTTATTGATTCATATAAATCTTTATCTTGAATTTATTTCGGAAATTTTTCATAAAACCTTTTTTTATTCTTAAGATTTTAAGAGAATTTGACAGATTTTTTAATTTTTAAAAATAAATTTAAAAATGGTACCCCGTATCCTTGTCCTGCTTCCATAACTGCTCCTTCAATAAACTCCACGGTGATTCTTCGTGATGGTTGTTCATTAAATACTGAGTTCATGAGAGCTATCCTTGCTGCACTTCGTCGGGCTTCAGCTTTAGTTGGACAACTCTGTTCAAAAACAATCAAATAATTGGTTATTTAGCAAGATGTAACCTTGTACAGTACGTCTGAATCAATATTTAGCAAGATGTAACCTTGTACAGTACTTATGAATGAATATGAAAAATCTGAGAAAAGTTTACGAAACTAGTATTTTTAAATTTGTTTTTTGGTCAAAACAAGAGAAATAATAAACTCTTTGAAATAAAATTATGCAACAGAATTTAAATGCAAATTAATCACACTCAACTATTTATTAAAAAAGCTGCTAAATACCAGAAGAAAAAAGAAATTAAATTATTATTTAATGTTCTTTGATCTTTAGACTGCAGAATACAAATAACAAATAGACAGTAAAATTCTTGTAATTTTTGTAAATTTTTTTGTAAATTTTTTTAATCCGAAATGTGAGTTTTAAGGGACTGTAAACGTAATTTCAAGTGACCCACCATTTATAGAGTGGCATGTCAGATTCACATACGGTTATGAAAAAGTATTTTAAATTATCAGATTTTATAAAATAAAATTACTAGATTTTATAAAATAAAATTACTAGAAATGATAATATTAAACCGTATTGAATGAAAATATTACCCCGTGGCAGCCTTACATAGATCCTCCCGGCAGGGTTACATAACAGATATAGGGATGGGAGCTGCTGGGGACACTCTCATAGATAACAAGAGCTCCGTTCTTGAGAGCAGCTCCTCGAGCAGCTTTCATCTGCCAGAACTCTTGCAGCTCCTCAACTACATTAACTAAAATACAACAAATATTAGTCTTCCTCCTCCTAGGTGAATGAACTGAATTAATACACTCGTCACAAATTATATTTTTTGCAACCTGATGTCGTAGACCTATGATTTCTGCGAAATAATATAGTCAAAGTTTGAAATATTAAAGATGTATATCATCAGGTTGCAAAGATATAGGGATGAGAAAATTAGAGTTAGTGGCGAGTTATCAGTTTCTTTAATGTTAAGTTTGGCATTATAAATATATGTATATATATTTAATTATATAAAGTTAAACCCAAAATGATCGCCATACATCGAAAGAATTTATCAAATGTCGTCTCAGTATTTGTGAAAATAATTAAATAGCCATGAATATGCGGGAACAGTTTTAAAGAGCTACATATAATCATTTAATTAAAAGAACTAAATACCTGCAACATTCCATTATCAGAAAGGGGAAAATACGACATTTGATGGATTCTTTCGGTGTATGCCTTATTTAGGGTTTAACTGTATATAAATATATACGAACACATAATTTTAGTAAAATCCTAGAATTTATGTTTTTTCTCCTTAATCCTTAAAAATTAACAGTGTTTAGTTTAATAAAGAGATATGAAAACCCCCTGGAGCGGGGGGGGTGATATATGTCCACCACCCCCCACACTTTTACCTTATACTTTATAGTTATATACCAAATTATGTTATAAAGAGGTATTTAAAAACCAAATAAATATTACGACGAAAAAAAATAATTTTTTAAAACTTTATATTTTAACAAACAAGATTTTTCACAAATATAAGACATAATTATTAAAGTTTACAGTATCATGGTCTAATCTAGCATTGAACTTAAAGTTTGAAAATGAACGGTTTGGGATAATTTCTACATTTCAACTTTAACTTAATCCTTTAATACTGCGGAATATAGAATATTGTTTTATTGTAAAATTAAACTCCTCACAAATATTCAGAATAGAATTAATAAGTTAGATACGTATCTACATCAGCATAATTAGATTCCGTTGAGCACATTAGTTAACAGTTTAAATATTCAGAATAGAATTAATAAGTTAGATGTATCTACATCAGCATAATTAGATTCCGTTGAGCACATTAGTTAACAGTTTAAATATTCAGAATAGAATTAATAAGTTAGATGTATCTACATCAGCATAATTAGATTCCGTTGAGCACATTAGTTAACAGTTTAAATATTCAGAATAGAATTAATAAGTTAGATGTATCTACATCAGCATAATTAGATTCCGTTGAGCACATTAGTTAACAGTTTAAATATTGGGTTTTAATTTTCTAATGGGGAAAGCTTAAGTGTTTATTGGCTATACATATTGGATTGTGAAAATAACTTTACAGGAATTGACTGAATTTTAATAAGCGATGGACTGAAGTTTTCTAATCCTAATATCTTTGCAATAGGATGGTGAAAACCATTGGTGTTCAAACTTAGATTATTTGATTAAACAGAATTCTATAGTTTAGGTCTAGGTTATAGGTCTACCACATTGGGTTGCAATGATAGGGATTAGAAAAGATTCATTTCATCAGGAAAGGATATTATAAACATACCTCTCTGTCTAGTTTTACCATATCCAACAATTTCTTGGTAAATATGTTCAGGGTTCCAAGGTCCGTCAGACATCAACATTTTGTTCAATTTATTGTTTTTCCAATATTAACTCTTAAACTTTAGTTTTAATTTCAAAAATCAGCGAAATATTTCACACAATTATTGTATTAGTTTCTTACACAAGTTCAACGGTTTCACATTTAAGATCTTTTTCTGTTTTGATTGATCTAGGAGAAGGGTTGAGGTTCGACCTATGCAGACTAGTACTCTGAGCTACCTGCCTTGGTTCTACCCAAACCTAAACCCAAGACTTTCTCTATACCTGCCGAAAACTGGAGAAGGCGGGCGCTCGGATCTCCAATACTGTAGTATTGGAGTATGCGGGAATGAACTAAGATAAAAGGGGGGGGGGGGGATAAATCCTTTAAGATTTTGCTACCCCCAAAAAAAGCATTCGTCATAATACTCTTATGTGAAAGAGTAATAAATAATAAAGTTATTCTATTTCTGTGGAGTCTGCCTTGAGAATTTTTTATATTTACATTATTTTTTATTTTTTCATATGAATTGCATTGAAAGCTTTTTCCATTCATTTGTATTAAATTTCCCCTTCTTGAGCTTAACGCATTTCCTCTTATCAAGACGAAATGATGATAGTTTTATACTCTCCACATACATGCATAATTTGGAAGATATGCATGGAAGTGGAATTGAATACTCAATATTCGAATAGCATGATTATTTTCAAATTACTCTCTTTAAAGAACGTGTCTTTGAAGTCCAAACTTCGCTGTTCTGTTCTATGATCTTTCATTTGTATCATTGCTTTCAGATAGTCCAGAGTAGTCCCGGGGCCTACAAGGGGAGGACACTCAAGCATGTGGGGGGCCTTATTAACGAGATGATTTTATATACAGGGTGTCCCAATAAACATGGGATTTAAATGACGACTTCTGTTTCGTTTTTGTTCCAAGCGAAATTATTCGTAAAAATGATTTTGTAGTATCTCAGTTGAAATATTTAACACCGAAAACTACCAGTCTCGGGATTTCCAAAATGTGGTCTGCCATTTTTACCTTCAAAATGTGACGGAAATATTAGGAAATTTGTTACTAAAAATCAACATATAAACTGTTCAAACGTTTAATACACCGGGTTACCCAAAAAGGATTAGACTGTAAAGACGACCGGAAACTCTTACAATGTGGCGATTCTACGGTTAAATTATCTATTCTACTTAAGATATAATTATATAATGACTTGTTCAATGATTTGGCAAAGAAAGAAACAAGTTTACAGTTGCAGGGAATCGTGAAAATAAGGAATAAGACAGTTTAAATTCTGTACAGTCGTCTCTGAAGTCTCATCCTTTGTGCGTATCCCTGTATCTCCATAAATTATAAAGTTACAAAGTATTGGTAGACCACACTTTGTTAAATCTTTATTTTGATGCACTTTATGTTATTTATAAATTATAAAGTTACAAAGTATTGGTAGACCACACTTTGTCATTAATTCTTTATTTTGATGCACTTTATGTTATTTATAAATTTTCGAAAATCAACGACGATATTCTAGTGGTCTCTCAATTTCCATGTTTATTGGGACACCCTGTATAATGTGGAGAAAAAAAGAAATATTAGTATGGCTCTCCGCGCAAACATATACCTAATACCTATGGCTATATAAACTTCATTTTGACGTTATATTTGGTCCGGGTGGGTGTTACATACATGTGAAATCCATTTACAAAATTGATAGGAGGGGGAAGGGGGGGGTCAAACAATTGTATATTAGGAAATTACCGCTGGTTATGTACAAAATTGATAGAACGGGNCGTTCTATCAATTTTGTACATAGCCGGCGGTAATTTCCTAATATATGATTTTTTGACCTTATATAAAAACTACTGAGACGGATAGATTTAAAGAAACTGAAAGATATTAAAATAAATTATTTAAATAATCTTGATTGTAAATTGAGAACAAAGACGACCGATCTAGTTTGTAAAATGCCGCAACTCTGAAATCAGCCAAACCAAACAGTATCATGACTATCCGGAAAAACGCCGAATTTCATCAGTACGACTGATCCAGGGATTTAAATAATTTATCTATTTCTCTGACTCGACGAACTCAATATCATTCTAATACTGGTTTTGAAGAGGACCCAAATTAAATGAAATTATTTTCTGTCCGAATCCTTTTCTTCTATTTACACTTTTCCGTTGGCAGGACTGTCATAAGCTGCAGAAATAAGTAATTATGCATTAAAAGTTGGGTAATTTCCTAGCGAACGATTTTTGGACCCCCCATCATTCTTGTACATGGATATAATTGATCCTATGGCTGCAGCGCCCGGCCCCCTAGGCTGTCCTAGTCGCGGCGCTCGGCCCCCTATCCTGTCATAGCCGCAGCGCTCGGCCTAGTAATTGTCATAACCTAACCTTACCCTTCAAAAGTGCTCATGTATAAAATAAATAGGAGGGGGGGGGGGAGGGGGGTCCAAAAATCGTATTCTAGGACGGACCCAAAAGTTGTGCAAGAAGAATAACTAGTTTTATAAGTGGATGCACGATTATGATAATGTAGTAGATGTAGCAGAAGTATGGGTATATATTGTTATATTTTCGGAAATTAAAATGCGATTCTGGATTTGATTTTTTTTCAGAATATATGCTCGACATTTGTTACATGCTCATCATTATTATTCTTGAAAATGTTTAAATATTTAGACTCTGTTTATGTAGTTCGGCAAACTGATGCTAGGGTTTATCACTTTCACAGAATTGAATGGCTTTACATACAGATTTAAACTACAATTGGATTTGATTGTCCGTCTATTCGTTGTATGTCGAAGGTCTTGAATGTCCATAAAAGGGGTATATTCCTAGAGAACGCCGCGGCTAGGACAGGCTATAGGGCCGGCACTGCGGCTACATGATCAATTATATCCATTAGTTATCCATGAAAAAAAATTGATAGGAGGGAGGTGGGAGGGCAAATTACATACGACTGTTTAATTTGCAAATGATTATTTTGTTGCATTGCTTCAGGCTTGTTTATCATTTCTTCATTATTTATGCTCTTAAAGGACTTCATTCCAGAATTTCCTTTAAAACTGCCTAATGATCAGTTGACTTTAAAGATTTATAAATTTTCTTTGTGGATATTTTGAAGGTTTTGATAAATTGTAATAGGGTATTTCACTCTAATTATGACTTTTTTCAGAGTTCAATAATCCCTGAGCTTGTTTCAATTATCTGGCAAAATGTTGTTAACTCTTAAAAACCTGCAACAACAAACTTTTACAATAGAAATAGAGGCAACAGAATCGGTAAGTTTATTTGTCTGATTTTTCTAGGTTTAAATGCATTTTTCAATGTGAATTGTGATATTTAATTATTTTCTCATGTATTGCTTTATTTTAACCATCGCGTGTTTCAGAAAATATCTATTCTTGACAATTTTAACGCCGCGCTGCGGGAAGAGATTTTTTCGGGATTTAAAGAAAAATGTAATATTTTTTTTTGTCTGAGAATAAATAGATATTCAATATTTTAAAATTTTGTTCAAAATTTTAATTCAAAAATTAGTTTTTACAAAATGAGTTTTATTTTACGTGAAGCCAAATCAACAATTAAATCTTGGAATATAAGAACTCAAGTTCGTACCTAGGAACTGTCCTCGTAGTTCCGAGTAACTCTCCGTTTAACGGTACCCTTGAAACCTTAATCAATATTGATAATATGGAAGATAACGTCGTTTTTCTGACTTGAAAAGTCTTCATTTCTGATATTTTCTCGACTGTTTCTGAAGCAAGAAATGCAATAGTCAGTTTTGTAGAGAAACCACAAGTGAAAATAATTAGTTTTCAAAAACAAAAAGAATTTTTGATTAATACTAGATTATATTAAGCTATTACGGTTACCGTTCTAAATCGGACAATTGAAACCGAATTATAACTACGATTGTAGTCCCTTTAAGCCTTAAGATTTTGGCTTCCTGGATCCGGATCCGCAAAATTATGCGGATCCACGTATCCTTCAAAATATATACTAATAACTCTGGAAAAGAATTTTACTCTGACACCCCAAATCTGGACTGTTGAAGAAAGAGAAATGATTAAAAATTTCCTGATATCTGAATAGAAATAGCATAAAAATAAGTAAAAAAATAAAACAGAAAATTTGAAAATTCTACTTTTTTAAGAAATTCAGTAAATTTTAAAGAAATAGCCTTTATTCGTTAACATTTTTTCCCAGTGCTATTAATCCTTAGGTAAAGAGCTTTAAACAGAAGATAGAAAGCTCCAAGGGGTCTGAAGACTATCCGGCCCAGCATCAAAAACTTATTTATGCCGGAAAAATATTAGGTAAGCTTTTAAATATAAATCATTTAAAAGGCATTAAGTGTTATTCATCACATTTCAATTATCTCAGATTCTCATGAACTTGTGTCTTTTTTATTCGATAAATTTTGGGGAAATAAATAAAGTTTTGGGTAAAAAGTATGTAAAGAGATGAGGTGAGGATGAAAAACTTTCTCTTTGATTTCCAATTTTTAATTGTATTTTCCTAGATTATCAAAAAAAGATAATCATTCTTGTAATTGTGTACCCCTGCAATTTACTGTCAAGTTAATTTGGAAATATCTGAGGCGTACAGCAAAATTGTCTTGTCCAGTTCCTTGTAATTGTAAATTAAAAATGTTGAGGACCGTCCCCCGTTTTCCCCCTTAATTAAAATTTGTCTTTTAATAATTGTATATATTGTTTAGTTGACGATGAACCTCTTTCTAAATATAATATCGATGAAAAGAAGTTTATCGTTGTTATGGTCGCCAAACCTAAAGGAGCAGCATCCACTAGTCCAGCAGCAGCAGCTCCTGCCGTCTCTACACCCTCTACTCCTGCAGCTCCCTCTACCCCTGCAGCTCCCTCAACTCCTGCTGTACCTTCTACACCTTCAGAGTCTACTCCTGGAACTCCTGTAGAGGAGAAGAAGGAGGTTTGGACCTTCATATTTACAGGGGATCATATTTTCGGGGTTTTTCGAAAATTTGGTTAAAACGGAAATTTTGAATTTTAGTAGTACATTCGGTATCGGTGATTTCCTAGTATTCGATTTTTGGACCACCTCTCCCCCATCCTATCATTTTTATCGATTTTCATTGATTTTCAGGTAGTTTTTAATAAAATATGGTAAAAGTTGGTTTTGTGGCCGCAGCGCCCGCCTCTCTAGCCTGTTTTAGCCACAGCGCTCGGCCCAGAAAGTGTCTAAAACTAACCTTACCTTAAATATATAGTAATTTAAAAAAGAAAAATTGCCTAAAATTTTGCAAAGGTTTTTTTTAAAACTACCTAAATAACTATTAAAATTCATCTACAAAGTTGATAGGAGGGGAGAGGGGGGTCCAAAAATCGTATACTAGGACGGACCCTCTGCATCCCCCTATAAAGAAACCTCCTGTCTTTATCTTATGAATTGTAAAACTATTTCATCGAAAAAGTCTTAATTTACTGAATAACACGTTTCCGTCCTCATCCGAGTTTTTACTTAAAGTTTTTTACTCTAAAGGAGTCTGACGAATTTAAGGTTTCTGAATTCAGTGTTTAAATACAAAAGGTTTGGTTCTCATGGTGGTTTAATTTGACAAAAAAAAAACTAGTTCCGCTGACGGTTGTAAAAAAATCCGAATTAGTTAATAAGAGAGGCATACATTAAAGCAGTGCTTAGGATCCATTTAATTTTCATCCGGATCCGGATTCAGGTCATTTCGTTAAGATTTACCGTTTTTTTAACAAAAAATAATTTTCAAATTTTTTGTTATTTTTTTCGCTTATTTTTATTCTAAAACTTGATGAACCATTCAGAAATGAGGAAATTTTTACAATCTCTTTTTTCAAACGTTCAGAGTTGGGTTTTAGGAGTAAAAAAAAATTTTTTTGCATTTTTTGGTTGATATTTTACCCCTTGGATCCGGATCCGGATCCTAGTTGAGCACTGCAATAAAGGGCGCCGATTTTTACATTTTTAAATTGTCAATCTGAACAACTTCAAGGAAAAAAGTTTTTTTTTTCTGTAAAATTAAAATTGCCATGCGAAGATAACCTTAAAGGGGTGGGACTTTAACAAGTAATACAAAAAAAACCCCTACAAATTATGTTGATATCGGTATCTAAACATACGTCAGAGATTTAAAATTGGGGATCAACATTCAAGTTTTTCATTAATTTTGACACCCAAACATCCTTTTTAATATACAAAATAAATATAATTTATCTTCCCTAATTCAGCTAAAATAAAACCCTTGTTAAGCTTTTTTCAAAGAAAATCATAGAACTTGTGCAAATTGGCAAAAAATCTTGAAAAAATGAAAATCTTCAAAAATTTATTCTTTGTTTACAAAAGGTATTTTTTTTTTCACAGACATTTAGAATGACCTTCGCAAATAGGTTTTAATGGTGATAAATATGTAAACAATCAGAATTTTAGTTTTTGAAAATGATTCTAGAAAAAGATTTCATCCATATTGTTTAGGGCGGAGGAAATACAGGTGACCTGGTGGTGGGAGAGGAATACAACAGAATGGTTCAGAATATTATGGATATGGGATACGAGAAGGCACAAGTTGAAGCTGCACTTAGAGCTAGCTTCAACAATCCGGACAGGTTCACATTTTTAACTATTAAGATGAATTTAAAATAGTTAGACATAAAATGCTAAAACTGTTGAAAAAATGACATTAAAAGTGGAGAAATAAGTTTCACATAATACAAAATTGTAAAAACAAATAAAGACAAATTAAGGGGCTGAAAATTTTTTCATTGAATTCATGTTTTAGTAAATACACTTTGATCATTTACTATCTTGAGAACCATTTCTATTATCCATACTTTTGGTCAAGAAAAATGAATATTTTTTTTTTGATTTAAAGATTTTTTTTTATAAAAAGGATTGCCAAAAAAGTCTNGTGCCTTGTCTTGTAAATCTTTATTTGAAATTAATCTATTAATTATTTAAGAGCTGTTGAGTATCTGTTAACTGGTATACCAGACTCCGCTGCTGGGTTACCAGGACCAACTCCACCTACTGCTGGAGCTCCAGCTATACCGCAGGTTGGTTGGTTGAGTGTGATTGATTGATTGGCGGAATGACTAATTGACAAATCGGTTAGTTGGGTTGGGTTGATAGGTTGGTTGATGGATTTAATTTTTTATTTTATCTTAACATTTGCATGTTCAGTGTTCACCCATTTATCTTTAATTCATATTTAATTCTTATTGGTTTCCATATTTTTACTTACGAAAGAAAAAAATTAGATCTTGAAAAAAAATTGATAATTTTTAAGAAAAAATTAAAATTTTTAAAAAAAAAGATAATTGGAAGAAAAAAAATTAAACTTCTTTTTGCCTGTGTTACCCCCAGGGTACTCAAGGGTTCCTTCAAAAAATGTTAGCCAATTTGGTCAAGCCGTTTAGCAAGTTATTTACATACAAACAAATATATATGAGCGAAGAGCTAGCTGTATTATATAGAAGATATTTATAAAATTTGATTTCCAACTAGTCACCTAGAATCCATACAAAAAATTATTCTGGGTAAGAATTCAAACCGTCTAGCTTTGGAAATCTTTTGATAGGTTATGTTTTTTGTTTTTGTTATTTAATTCCAGAGCCAAAAGAGTATGGATGAGATGTCCTGTTTGATGATGGGGGGGGGGGTATCCCTACCTTCATTTTTGGTTCAAATCTCCCAATTCTTTGGCTTATCGCCTAATTAGTGTTCTAATTTCCTAACTTAAAATTTAATTGAATTTTAATGACATCTAATGACCTGTAATGACCTTATCAAATAGAAAATGTTTTCAACTATGAATTTATGTATATCAAACGAAAGCTAGGAACTCAATGAATACAGTAGGAGCAACGAATCTAGTGTTTAACATGACCTCCAACGGCCTCTATTGACCTAAAATGACCTGGAAAATGAAAATATTTTAACTATGGTTTTATGCATATCAAACAAATGCTAGGAACCCAGGGAATACAGTAGGAGCAACGAATCAAGTGTTTGAAATGACCTCTATTGACCTAAAAGACCTGGAAAATGAAAATGTTTTCACTATGGTTTTATGCATATCAAACCAAAGCTAGGAACTCAGGGAATACAGTAGGAGCAACGAATCTTGTGTTTGACTCCTCCTCCAACATTAGTTTTAAAACTTGTTTTATAATATTTTATAATTTTCTTCTAGTTGTCTGCTCCAGCTGGAGAAGATATCCAGCCTGGAACTGGAGAGAACCCTCTAGCATTTTTGAGGTAAATTACAGGAATGTATTTTACTAATCTCTGTTATGTCTTCTTTTTACTGGTCCGTAATGTATATAGTTGAAAACTAATTTTCCCCAGCCCCTTTGTTTTACTTAACATTATGTTATTTAACATTTATTTTAAAACCTGTTAAACTACACATTTGTTTATACATATGTTAAGACGTAATTTGTTCTATAATTTATCAAGGATTATTTAAAATTTAAGAAAAACAAGTAAAGCTATTTATCCTTTTCCAGAGGGGGGGTGTCCAGAAGAACTAAAAAAAGACAGGGCTAGTAATTCGGCAAGGATACACTAAGAGTGCCGACCGCTACGACTAGGACATGTCTATTTTATTAAATTAAATGTTTATATACCATTCTTTTTTCCTAACTGATACTTTAACTTCAGGGACCATGAGATGTTCCAGCAGATCCGAGCAGTTATTCAGCAGAACCCTGGGATGCTCTCCACGATGCTTCAGCAGATCGGACAATCAAACCCTCAGCTTCTTCAGATTATTTCACAGGTACTCAAACAATAATGATTAAGGTGAAGAAACTAAAAAATCTTAATTCTCACCCATTCCTACTTATCCATTATCCAACTATGTCGTATCATGAGATCTGAAGAACCGTTTTTAATGTAAATTAACAATAGTGTAGACAGTAATTGCACACTAAGCCGTACCTCCTTCCCTGGCCGGGAAATTTACACTCTGTTATAGTTCCTGAGCTAGCTCTCCATGTGAAATGTCCGATCCGCCTCTTAACAGAGTTCCCATACTCAATTAGCAAGGGAATGATTTTTAATAAATTGGGTGGGAACAATTAAAAATTGAACATTAAAAGCCAAGTTGGTTCTTTTTTCCGCCCTACAATTCTTTAAAACCCTCAATTCAGCTAAGAAATCCAGCCCTCTATAAAAAAAATTCTCTCCGTGCAACCATTTATAACTCCTGGGGTGGGGAAACGGATTTTCCAACGTAGGGGAGATGCTTTTAAAAGAAAATATACACCCCAGTTATACTTTTACTTAGTCCAAAGTTTAATTCCCAAAAATCATCCACCAACTTTGTGCCCTTAAACAATTGTTAGACTTCCTCATATTCTAAAAATGTGCATCATTGAGAATTTTTTAAAGGTCTAGAATTCTTGAATTTTGAAAATCAATTGTAATTGTAGAACCAGGAGGCCTTCATCAGGATGATCAATGAGTCGGAGGGAGAGGAAGGAGGAGCACTAGAGGGAGAAGAAGGAGGACTAGACCAACCTGGAGTTATCCAGGTCTCTCCTCAGGACAAGGAAGCTATCGAGAGGGTAGGTTGCAACTTTTTTTATCTGTTATTATATTCTGTCTACGTAATTTAAGAAAACCACCACATAAAAAATAGGGGCATGCCTCGCGGATTTAAATGCAGACAAAGAATAAAATTGACATAATTTACTTTTAAAATCGAGCGATCATCGTTTATCAACACCCCACACTCAAAGGGGGGGAGGTTGCTTCTTCAAAATATAAACCCCTGGAGCCTGATTCTAGAAAACGAATGGAATTAATAATTATTGTTTGTTCAGTTGAAGGCCCTGGGGTTCCCTGAGCACCTGGTTGTGCAGGCATACTTCGCCTGTGAGAAGAATGAGAACCTCGCCGCAAACTTCCTCCTCTCACAAAACTTCGACGACTAGAAGACTAGAGGAGAGGAGGGGGGATTGCTTATTCAGAAACTGATCTAAATGATGCCGCCACTGTTGTAAGATTTATGACGATAAAATACAAAATAAATATTTAATGAAAAACGGTGAAATATAAGTTTTCCAGTTACAACTTTTTATATTGAGAGATTCTCATTTTGCCATTTATACTAGTTTTTCAGTTTTCTATTTCAATTGAACATTTTCCCTTTGTAAAACAAAAACAAAAAAGTTTGTGGATTTTATTTTAAAAAATCATGGATTTTCAAAATTTATTTAAAATCGATTTTTGGTGGAGGCTAATTTTTGAAATTTTCATTATCCATAACCTTCCCTGGGGTCATGTTTGGTCCAACACTAAATTTGGGCCCGACCGGTTAAGACGTTTTGAGTTTTGACGATTATTGGACACAAACTAAGAGACAGACAGACAAATATATATAATTATATCGTAATATAGATCAGAGTAAAAAATGAAATATTAACCTAATATAGCTTAATTCATGGTAAGGTATCCTCAGATTCATTTTAATTGACGGAAGACGTAGCTATTAGCTAGCGTCACTTCTTGCGATTTACACTCCGCTACTAACCTAGTTTGATGGAAGTAGAAAGTATATATGGACTGCTAGAAAATTACCAATTCAAAAAATATCTTATGTATAAAAATCACGACAGTTTTATTTAGTTATGTTACTTTCTTTACCACGGCAAGTCTTTTCTTATTTAATTCTCGGGTTATAATAAATATACCGGTCCATATGAAGACGAAGTGTAGTGTAGAAATGTTATGTCGTCTTGATTATAAAATAATTGAGACACACATTTTACCGTCAAATTAATGAACGTTACAGATTAGATATAAAAAAGTTCGCGGATTTTATAAAATTTAATAAAAATAGAATTTTTTAGGAGGCTAATTTTTGAAATTTTGATCATCCATAAACCTTCCTTGGGGACCTTGGGTAATGTTAGGTCCCACACGAAATTTGGGCTGCCCAATCGGTTCAGGCGTTCTAGCGTTTATTGGATATACAGACCAGACCATCAAAATATGATAGAGGTTATTTTTGGGTCGAGAGAAAATATGTGCTGCGGTTTATATTAAAGGTATATAAACATAATTTCAAGTGTAAACTTGAAAAGATTTTATTGTTGCATAACTTTGGTAAATTTTAAAAAATCGCATTTTATGCACACTGAAAAAAATGGTTCTAACTCATTCAGATCCAATTTTTCCCCAATTGTGCCTACTTATTTTTAAGTTATTTACACTATACATGGTGTCCCGCGATACATGACAGTAGCAAAACGATCAGAAAGTTGTCTTAGATCTTTGAATTTATTTGTGACATTCAGTCTTCGACGTCAACCTCTTTTCAAATGTAAGACTGTTGAAATTAGTCACACAATTCTCCTAGTCCTGGAATTTTCAAAATGTGGTCTGCCTTTATTGTGCTGTCAATATTACCGGATATATTAAAAATTTCGATCAGATTTCAACTTCTATTTAAAATTATGGAAATGTAAACAAAATTAATAATATCTCCGGTAATTGAAAGAACATAACAAGCGGCCCACATTTTGGAGATGCCAATTAACTAGAGATATTTTGTTCGACTTAACTCGAAGATTTGGTTTACGTTTAAATTTCTGAAAATATTTCAAAGATCAAAGACGACCTTAGAGTCGGTTAGCTAATGTCATGTTTCGTGGGACACCCTGTATAGTTCCATTTCATCCCCTGATACGTTTTTAAGAACAAAAGTTGAGAGTAAACCTTTGGTTTTTGATATTATAATATATACATTACTCTATTCTCTACATGCATTAAACTGGTTAAAAAGTAGTACTTTACGAGCCATAGAATAATGGGACGATCACGAACTTTAGTCGACTTGATATAAATTCACGAAACCTCTCTCAATTCATCCCTACTCAGTTTCTCCTCTATCCGTCCATATGCTCAGTTTCTCCTCTCTATCCGTCCATATCCTCAGTTTCTCCTCTCTATCCGTCCATATGCTCAGTTTCTCCTCTCTATCCGTCCATATCCTCAGTTTCTCCTCTCTATCCGTCCATATGCTCAGTTTCTCCTCTCTATCCGTCCATATGCTCAGTTTCTCCTCTCTATCCGTCTATATCCTCAGTTTCTCCTCTCTATCCGTCCATATGCTCAGTTTCTCCTCTCTATCCGTCCATATGCTCAGTTTCTCCTCTATCCGTCCATATGCTCAGTTTCTCCTCTCAATCCGTCCATGTGCTCAGTTTCTACCCTCAATCCATCCCCTAACAAGGATTGATAAGGATAAAGAGGAGAAACTGAGCAAGAACGGATTGAAAGGAGAAACTTAACAAGAATGATTTGAGAGGAGATACTAGTAGTTAGAGTTAAGAGGAGAATCTAAGCAAGTACAGAGTGGGAAAAGAAACTGCGCAACAATATATCGAGAGGTTAAACTGAGCAATTGGAGGGATTGAGGGGGGAAACTGAGCAAGGATGGGTTATGAGGAGAAAATAAGAAAGAAAATATTTTTTTAATTAGTTCATTTGAAAGTAATGAATTTTAATTTTGTTCTTATGCACAAATGTTCAAATGGACTATAAGCAGCTCACTTTTGTTATTGAGTAGATCAATCGGAAGTTTGAGTTGGATCTATATAACAAGATTCTCAGAGAGGGGTAAGAGGACTATGTACTGTTTTATATTCTACAACCTGTAGAACTGTATTATATCTGCACCCTGTATAGAACTGTATTATATTCTACAACCTGTAGAACTGTATTATATCTGCACCCTGTATAGAACTGAATAATACACCCTGTGAACGTGACATATGCCTGTATCCCCGGCTACTTGTCTCTGAGCCCTGATTTATTTTCAAGCCGAGGCTTAAATCTCTGCCTTGCGTTCAGAAACATTTATTAATCTACGTTACACTTTTTCCTGAGCAGATCATCTTTATACAGATCAGTCATTCCCTTCTTTAATATTTAGACCAGATAGATTAAGCTCTTTTGATTAATTTCATGTCAGATTGGATTGCATAAAGGGACTGTACATGGTTTTATATCCCCGTTTTATGTAAAAGTTTTAAATGGGGGACAGAGAAACTACTGGAAAAAGTCTTTTAATTTTGGCGCTTTACAGGTTCCGCCTACAAGGCGTCTTGTTTGATTTTAACCATTTTTGCAGATTTTACTAAATTATAATACGAAAAAAATTGGAAATCCTTAAATTTTTCGTTAATCTTTTTTTTTAAACTAATAATCTAATATTATTTATTTTGAGCAATTAGACTGTCCCCAATATTTTATTGATTTGGAAATTTTCCTTAATGTAATTTTCAAGTCAACGTTTCTTTTTGGATTAGAGGATAAAAAAATCTACTTTTATCAAAAAAAATTAATAATAATTTTTGGACAAAGGTGTCTGAATAGGAAGCGTGCTTTTATTATTTTTGATGCTAATGGGGGGGGGGGGGAGTTTTAACTGGACACCAACTTCTAACTAAAAATCATTTATTTTTCCAACTTTAGCAAATTAATCCATTCAGATATTCAGAGCTCAGCAAAATATATAAAAAATCCAAGAAAATATACCCCCATGCTGAAAAGTGACCAATCCTATGAAAATGTAGGCGAGGATTCTCGTTAGGGTTTGCAGAGATATTTACGACAAATTAGTGATAAAGTGATCAGTCCAGAGTTTCCACCGAAAAGGGGAAATCGTTTCGCGAAAATTTCGCATTTCGTTCGCTCGCGAAATAAGAAATCTGAAAATTTCGCTAAAAATGCGGACAAACAATGTACATTGAAAAGATAGATCAAATTCTCTTTATCAAAGATTTATTAAAGTAAAGGAGAAGAAATTATTAATTACAGAATATGGATAAGGTTTTAAAAAACTTTAAACTGCATGATTTTTGTGGTTCTTACAAAAAAATCCAAAATTTATGAGAGCTAACTTGCTAAGAAAATGAAATGAAAATATTTACATTATACATATTTAATATTTAACATAAATAGAAAATGCAACCTTATAGACTTGAATTATTTATGTGCTTAACACGAATCTTAAAGGGACTGATCAGTTATTTTAGTATTGTGATGTTGGTAACAATTTTGGACAAAAGGTCATTCACAGAAAATGAAATCATGTTTAAAACGTTTTGTTTTTAAAAAATAAATTTGTTAAAAATGGGTGCAATCCCTTGAAATAGTAATAAAAAGTTTTACAACGTAAATACAGACTAACACTGTGTTTAATAGTCTTGTTTTAGTTTATACTAGAACATGATTTTGCATTTCTAGCTAATTTAGATCTATTTTTACCTCGTAGAATCCAAAAATAATCAAATATTTGGAAAAATATATTTTTAAATATCTGAATATTTAGTTTTTTTATATTCACATTGAATTCCATTTAGTATGTCATGTATCGGCCTTTGCATATATTTAAAAACTTAAAAACTATTTTTAATGTGGGTTTTCAAAAATATTTAAATAGAAAGTCTGATGGGGCCGAATTTGATGAATCTGAACGAGGTCGATGACTAATAACCTGCTACCCGGTTAAAATTTGAATCAACGATTCAAAGTTAACTTAATATATGAGGCTTCTGAACCTTTGATATGTAGACCAATGAATTTTGTTAGATTCACAGTCTAAGATTAAAATATCACAGGGTTATCATCAGGTTACAAAGATATAGATATTAGAATATTTGAGTTTGTGACAAAAACTCAGTTCCTTTGTCTTCCTTAATCTGTTCGTAAGGACTCGACCAGTTTTCATTTGACCATTTAAAAATCAAATTGTTATATTCTTCCTTTAAAATGTACACAATGCACCATGGTAGATTTAAAGGCTGAAATGATAGGATAAAGATAGGAGTTGCGTTGTGGAAGCCTTTACTTAAATAGTTGATAATGATAATACTTTTACACGGTACAAGTTTTATTTTCTAATTGTTATATACATGGTACAAGGCTAGTTATATACATGGTACAAGGCTAGTTATATACATGGTACAAGGCTAGTTATATACATGGTACAAGGCTAGTTATATACATACATGGTACAAGGCTATTTATATACATGCTACAAGGCTGGTTGGCCTGTCATA